GTAACGATGCATTTTCCATCTGCATATGAAATTTGAAATTTATTTGACCAAGAAAACTTTCATTTTAGACGCTTTCTTGGAATTGTAGGCGCTACATTAGTAACAGTTCGTTTGACGAAAAGTATCATTTTAACACCGGAAAGTGTTTGTAGCGCCGTGAAAACAATTGAAACAGTACCGCAACGTATTAATTGACGTGATTGAACGCCCATAAAACGTACAAATCGGGAAATTTTGTATTCCATCACGACGAAAATCTTTCTACCTTAAATACATTTTTCTCAATTTGGATAAAAATACATAGGCGGGTTTATTCCACACTGTCGATCTTTTCTCACGAAGTTAGTTTCGATGCAGCGGCCGAACGTACGTATGAATCATCGCTCGCATTAGGCCTCAGGTGGCAGAATGATAAAACTTGGCAAAATAATACGAGGCAATCGAGCCAAAACATTATTGCTTGGACGATGGAAATTTCTAAACAAGCCCGGAAAATCGTATCGTTATAATCGGCTTTATGCTCGTTGTGCATCAGCCCAAACGCTTTTGGCGCACATGACTCGAGCTGATAAGTCATGCCTTACGTTATCGACCATTCATAATGGGCTATTTATCTCTTATCTCGGATGCAAGCGGCCCGAGTGCATTATAAAAAGATTATCTATGTGAAATTAATACCGATTATGCACACTTTGTTTTATGCACGGGCTTCGAGTCATCATCTCAGTCGTGCACTATCGATACGCGCTCGCGACACCCCTCGCTGAATAAATACACGTTTATTTTTTACGTGACAACAAAAAGCCGATTAGCTGTTTCGTGAATACAAATCTTTTGCAGATTTGGATGTTAGTACTGTACACCTGTGTGTGTATGCCGTACAGAATAATGTTGAGCGTTTAAATGAAAAATCGGAATTTGAACGAGAACTTGTGTGTGAACGCTTGAACCGACGACCATTGACATTCTTTCGAATGAATTCCTAACTAGTGAAATAATTTAATCTTGAAACGGTGAGTCCCTGCGGAGGCGCGCGTCTTTCTTTCACCGTTAACGCCACTCATCCTTTCCGATATGAGACAAAAAAACCTGTTTATCTCGAGAACCCATTGAATCTTTATTTAGAATTGAGTAGCTTCTACTAAAGATAATTCCATCGGAAAACTCTCGAATATTAGAAAATATGTGTAATCAAGTATAGTATGAACGATCGGATCATAATTCTTGACACCTTTTTCTCGATCAGAAGTAGGGAGAATGTTTGACAAGCTCGTGAAAATAATACAATTCGACCATAGCCAGCGCAGCCTAGCACATTAGACATTTATATCAATGAAGTCAAAAATAAACAAATGAGTGACACGTGCTGATCTCATCGACTATATTCGAAAGCGTTGAAGTGTAGCTAATAATTTTACCGACAGAAATTTTTCATGCTTACGCATACACACGGTTCAAGAGTCGTTGTTCGCATTTTTCACCTGCGTATACTTTTTGACTCATTGGCATTTTTTGGTTGAGCATTTAATATAGCCTATATTATATTCCATTTTGGCAGGGTGTATTTTTGGCCTTTTTCTTGGTACGGTTGCGGGAATCTCTTCGGATAAAATTTTATAATAGAGACAAAATGTATTTAAAATTAATTTAAATTCAATCAAAAAATTATTCCCTGAATCTACGCCAATAAAAATGCTCGGATAATCGTTACACAAGCGAGCTTTATCGTAATAAATCAATAAAGGTTCCATGTGTGTTTACACGATTACTGATGCATCAAAATTGAGGATGATTTTTTTCAAGTACTTAACTTATTATTGCCAAGAAAGTCCATAGAAAATACCATGAAAAATTCCTTAATTTTGCTTCGTTTTTAATAAAATTCATTTTAAAAAGTCAACATTTGTATCATGTACTTTTAACATAATGTAAATGTTTAATGTAATGTAAACATAAAGCTTGCTTGTGTATGTTCTTTTCACTCGGGGAGTTTTGATCGATGATGAAGCAATGGCGGCACTACTTTCTGTCATTCGACAGATTAACCATCGGGCTGGCGAACTTGTGCAGTTGTGCTTGAGAGATGATCTTAAATTAGCGCTCGCGACTGCAGTCGTTAAACCTCTCTCTCTCTCTCTCTCCCTCGTTCTCTATCTGTTTTTGCGTGCGCGCGCACCTACTGGCACACGATCAAAAAGCTTTCGCATATTTTCACGGAGGCAGATGCACCTCAAGCGCCGCCGTTGCCGCACGCGCACACATATACGCATCGATAAAAGTATATTATGTCTTTGTTTACGATGTTTTATGCGCGCGAAAAGGTAGCGCTGTAAATTCTGCAAGACAGATTCTGCTTCGCGTCAATGCGCGTAATTCGCGCGCGTGCTGCAGATGATGTCTTTTTACGCGCGCATGACGTCGAGATTATTTTCTTTTTTATAGCATTTATATCAAGGACGATCGAGATTTGGCTTTTTATTAGCATTACGCGATGAGATTGATGCCGTGCGCACATTCCTGCTCAATATAATTTTTTTTAAATATATTTTTTATACATAAATGCGCGGGCGTAATTTAAATGCTCCTCTCTTTTCAAATACTTTCTCCTGCACGCGCCATTTTTTTACGTACATTTGCATGATTGTGTCAAAAGCTGATTTCTTTCGCTTAAAATTCAGATTAACCGCAATGCTTATCTGCGATATATTATCCAAGTCGATTATGAGGCTTTACGTTCAGAATGTCAAAATTTCTCTCGTCTTTGCTGTTGGCTCGGATGTTTTTTCTTTGCGAAAACGAGTAATCTTACAGAAATGGGTGCACCCGTTCAGTGTCGCGTGCCGTTTACGTGTTTATTTATTTTTAGTTTTCCAACCGGAAACTCGTGTGCTTTTTTTCCCCACTATTGCACTAAGCTACTATGGATGCATTAACTATTTCATAAGATTTTTTATTATTCAAATCGATTCGAGCATTTGTACGATGTCTTTTGAGATAATTGCGCCGAGATTTATTCAGTAGCTCAATCGTGTAGTACATCAAAAAATCATCAATATGATTCATATAAGCATTACAATTTGCTCGAATCTCAACCGCAAGTCATTGAATTGGAAATTCATAACCCTTAATTTTCCTTGGAGTATAGGTGTAAGCCGGTGCCTGTCGAAGCGTGTCGATCATTGGGACCTACTACTGCAGTAGGGGCCCTTGGGCTCCGAAAAACTCGAGTACGAAAACGATACATAGGTTGTCGGTCTCTTTCTTTCCACTTTCTCCCCGTTTCTCTCGCATACTTTTCTTCTCTCTTGAAAAGACATCACCCCAAGAAGATCTTTCTCGGCACTCTGCTTCCTCTTTCCCCTAAAAATGCGAGCTCCGCTGGTTTACAACGATCGCAGGCGATTATAAATACGTATGTAGAGGCAGCGGCACGCACGTACATAAAGCGCGCACATACACACGGACAGAGACTGGCATCATCGCGTTGATCGCACTTACACACGCATCGTGCGCTAAAATATACGTACGTAAGTATGTCTATACACGCACGGCGCACACACACACACACACAGACTCGCTGTTTAGTTTAGTTTCGCGCGCGAGTCCACGGGCCAGGCAGCGTATAGCAGCACGACGACAACGGCTGCCTTCAGTTTCTCCCCGTTCGCCATTCGAGGCGGCCACGGACGAACTAGATTTTAGCCTCTAGATACATTTATGAGCGTATATTTATTTTAACGCTCCAGATTTCGAGCGACGTAAAAATGCGCGAAATTTGCAGATAGTGCCGTTGTGCCGTGCTGTGTGTGCGCGAGCTCGCCCCCGCGCGCGCCCATACGACTGCAGTGTGCGCGCCTCGCAGTGCCCGAGTGCAGTGAAAAGTGCGTTGGACGCGCTTGTGGAATGATCGATGGAATATCGGACTCGCCAACCTCGATGATTTAGTGCGTATTGACAAGCCGAGAGCAGTGTGCCTTTCTTCGTTCTAGTAAGGTTCGTTCGTTATTAGATTTACGATGCTCGTACAAGACGCCGCCATCCTGTCCTCATTGAAACGTAATCGTTGAAATCGTGTAAAACAAAAAATATCACAGTGGTGAATTCATCGCGAGCTCGACCTTGATCCATATTCCCCGGAGCGGTCGCTTGTACGAGCCCTGCTTCTCCAACGGCGTTCATCGCTCGACGACTCCTACACTTATCGATCGTCTCGCCGTAATTTTGCCGATGTGCTGGTCGTTGTTCTTGCGCCGATTCGAATTAATTAATTAAGCGCGTAGACAGCGGCCATACGCAGAACAGCGTAATTTTTTTCACGTACGCAACGACGTGATTGACGCGTTTGCGTGTCTTTTTTTTCCCTTCTCGCTACCAAAATCTGCTTGGGCCTCGAGCTCTACGGGCGAGTTCAGTACTTTCAATGTATCCATCTTGCGAGAAATCGTTGACGTGAAAAAACCACTTGCATGGATGTGTTGCGATGGACTTTTATGCGCGCCGCTTTGTATCTCTCGTTTAGATCGACAGAAGTAGGTTACCTATCGCTAGAATCGACTGACGCGCTTCACTCTATAGGTACATAATATGGTAAACTCAATGAAATTTTCCGCTTAATCATGGTCAGCTCCTCTGATGTTCCTACTGTTGTTGCTGCTGTTGCCGCTGATGCTGATCGCCTTTTCACGCTCTCGGTCTTTTGTGAGGCATGGCATTGCAGCTGTACTCGTGTAAAAGGATTATGTCATTCGCGCATGTGCTCCTCACCTATATCGATGTTCGATCTTTTTAATCGGACCCATATAGATCACCCGATGGACAACTGCGTTGAAGTTTTTACGCGTACAAATGATCGATATAAATTAATTACTCGACAAAGCCTTGAATCTCAAAAGAAGATCCATGAAACGAGTCGTCTGTGCTATGCGTAACAGCACGGAAGCGAATAGGCGACAATGACATCATCAATAACGATTAAGAGCTTTTGTTTTCTCTCTTCACAGGCGATCATCGGGGCATCGGGTCGGCGTCGGGTTGCACCGGAGCTGCGGCCACCTCGTCGGCGACGGGCAGCGGGTCGCGATCGAGCATCGGTGGCTGCGGCATTGGTGTGATCGGTAGCGGGGCGGGCTGTGGCGCTGCTTCTGCCAACGAACTTCGCCGAATTTCCGGCTTCGATCACGCCGATAGCATGGACGATCCCTCATCGAGGGAAGACATTTCCGAAATGTAAGTATATGATAAAATCCCAAAGCTTCCACAGTGACGTTTGGAATTTCTTGCGAACTGGCTTCGCGGTCTTTCGTTTATCCAAACTATGAGAGCTTGATAACAATGGCCGCAAAAGCGCAGAGTCTTCGGAAAACTGGATGAACCGCACGCGTAGATATGAAACTTTTATTTCGATCGCAGAATGTCAAACTCATCGATCTGCGTGTGAGCATAAGCTCTATTTTTCACATTTTTAACTGAGCTATTATCATAACTGCGCGTCTTTTATGCGACACTGGATTTCTTTATTGATTAATCTACGCGTTCTTTCGCTTTTCGCATATTATTGTACGTACGCGATATGATGATATACTCATACTTACACGCACACAAACATTCGCAGGGTGCAGCAAAACATTTCCAGTAAGCCAAAGACATCGAACATAAACAGGTCTGAGAGTTACAAGGAGCGGATACATAATAAGGTGAGTAAATTGACTTTTGATATTTTCTTTATTTTTTCAACCCACATACACACGTATGTAACTATTGGAACTACGATAGATGCTTTACTGTGCGATGATATGTGCTCTTCCACATTTACGCTTCATTGAAAACAAACCACCTATATCAAATGGCTCGACTTGAATTTGACCCTCTTTTGAGCTTCTGAAGAAGCCTTAATTACATCATTTTTTCTTCAGTATTATTTTTTTTTTTTTAAATTATAGTGCTCCATAATAATTTGTATAATTTTATTCATAATTATTATAACTGTAAATGAAGTGACTGTCGCAGTATCCACACAATAAAAAACTTCTGCTCGATCAAACTATCAAATTTCTCTGTCTAAGGTATAAATTTAATAGAAAGCTTTTTCCTTACAGAGACACTTGCGTGAGAAGCGAAAAACGAGTGATCCAAATCTATCGAAGACCAAGTAAGTTTTTCTACTCTATTTTTATTTTTATTTTTATTTTCGTTGTCTATTATTAGTTTTCTGGGTTTTTGTTAATCTGTTATTGATTTACAAAACTTTCGATCATTGCAAATGTACTGAAAATTGATAGGATCAATTGTACCAATAAATGTGTCATCGCGTAAACAGGTATAATATACACATCTTCAAATCGATAATATTCCGCTTGGGTCGCTGTCGTAGCGTATTAAAGCGATAATTGGTGCATAAGAGAAGCTTATTGTATGAAATGACTGAAAACAAGTAGGCCTGCTTTAAAAGCGTAATCAGTCATTCGGCATTTAACGACACGCGCGAAACGATGGCTTGGGCGTTCTGTGGAATTTATGGAAATGTACAGGTATAAGGGGATATTATATTGTGCGACGACGATGGCGATTCTCGATTTCGGAGCAAGGTGAAGCGCGTAGGATTTTCAGGGTCTCCGGTAACTCGGCCAATGCGCTTTCGGCGACTCATCAACGTTTTTGGCTGATGCGCCGAGCTCTGATTTTTTTTCCGCTGCCACAGAAAATCTCGACTTTTCCTCCTCTTGTTCCAATGAGTCAACAAAAGTCGCTTGATTGGTCGAAATATTTCCAATAGCCGACACACACTATCGTGACTGACTTTGAAAAATGCTCGCAGGCGACAATCCCCCCGGAATACCAACTGCAAAGCCCCAGCGTCGAATCGTGACTTGGATTACACATGCGACTTGGCGCGAAGCGTTACGCGTTCTTTTGAGTTAAAAAAGACGGATGGAAAATAATGAAACGAACGTCGCGGTAGAGGATTTCAAGCGACTGGCTCGATAAATGTCGCAATGCGAGTTCAAATCCGTCCTCGAAGGTCCACCTTCGCAGAGTCAAAGTCACAGAAGCGATTTCTCTGCGTATCTAGAGCATAGCGGGTATTTCATGCCGCACACACAGAAGCCCGAACTCGCGCGCTATCGTTCGCGCACCCTCTTACGTCGTCGGTGGATTCGCGCGCGCAGGCTTCGGCTTCTATCACGGGCTTGTATAACCCTCCCCAGCTTGTTGCTGGACTCGACGAGTCAGTTGCGTGCTCGCCGCTAGTCAAGTTCGCTTCGTGCGGTTGGTGCAGTTTGTCTTTTTATTCTCTCCCTTGCCCTTTGAAAAGTACGCGCTGAACAACTCGTCGTGAGTTTACGCATCGAGTCAATTTCAGATTTTGCGTTTCTGTTCCTTTGTGCGATCTTATGGAAGAAAATAAATAATACATTTAGTGTAAACAAATAATCATTCGATTCTCAAGGGTAACTGTTATTATTTGTAAGAAACTCGTGTGCTTCAAAAAAGTGTGCGAGAAGTAAATTATTACAAACCAACAATATGTTGTCGTGCAAGTATTGAAAGTTACTTTAGAAGTAGTAAAATCGCATGGTTTGTCCAATTTTGATGTACAAGCGCGTGTGTCGTGTTAAAGCTTTCAAGCTCGTGAAACTACTCTCGTTAATGCTCAAACGCGATCCTCGATATCTCATTCGACAATAATAATTTGTGACCGGTACGTGTGAGTGCGCACAGACCAGAGGCGGCGGCGGAGGCGGCAAATGCTATTTGGCACTTGATTTTGGACGAACGAGATGAACTAATTTTAAAATTATCTTTGCAAGCTTCTGTGTGCGTTGTATGCTTACATTGTACGTGCACGTGTGTATACATGTACGTACAAACAGTGCAGCACGTGGAAATTGAGTCGTTGCTATTATCTTGCATGTTTCTCTGTTGGCCGCGCATTTGACGCACCTGCAAGGGTACCCTGCTTGCTTTATATAGAACAAGTGCAAAAAGAAGGAATAATCCCGTTCTCGAACCGATAACTCGCAGAGAGGAGTATCAAATACCGCGTCAGTTTTATTAAAAAACGAACCTGGTTTCAGCCTCGGTAAAAAAGCTTCACTTACGATATTATCTTTTTTGGCTATCTTCTCGTTTCTCTCTCTTTTTTGCTTTTGCTCTCTTTTGCACGCGAGAAAAGTTACTACACGAGCTAACTTTGCCTTCCATGCTAATTCGAGGCGAGGTTTCGTTTACAACTACTGAGTAACGAAAAAACTTTGATTCCCTTGCGAAATCTGTGCGTATGTGCAGGTTTTTGCGCATGAGATTGTGGCAACCACCAACTTTTTCGAGTTCTTCTTTTATGCAATGATACGGCTCGGCTTCGATGTTTCGCACTTGAAAAATGAAAAATGTCTCCCATCGGCACTTTCTCAAACTAGTTTTGCGAGAGAAAAAAGTCCCGACGCACCGTCGTGCGTGCATTTCAGTCCTAAGCTCGGCTCTATTATAGCTTTCGGCTATCGTCGAAGCACTCAGCTAACGACGGATGCGTGAAACTTTCTTCTAAGTGCTCGGCGCGAAAATTTAGCCGAAGGTCGTCGCTTTCGATAGCGAAAGGGCAGAATTTTTATGCCAGCTACACATTAACCGCAAGAAAGGTTGAGAAAAAAGCTCTCTCTTCCTTAGGGAATTTATTGATCGTTTCTCTATACTAGTGTTCCGTACCACAAAGCTTAGGTGTACGCTGACGTGTGTGTATACTACGACGGCGCAAGTGAACGAGGAGAAGCCGGACCGAATCGGCCTTGAACACCACTAATACTATGTATATATACCTGCACGGCAACAGAGGCGGCGTCGGCGGCGTCGGCGGCGTTGGCGCGAGCTTGACGTTTATTTGTTCTCGCGCTCCTCTCTCACTCCCTTTCTCGCTCGTTGTAATGTTATAGCGTGGGCTATATGCCCGCTTCATTTTTCCTTTCTGCTCGCCGCGTTCGTATGTGTCTGCTTGTATGTGTACTAATGTATAAGCGCTATGCTTGGATTGCTATTTGGCCGAAAGGTGTGCAGCACCTGCCTCCCCGCTTTTATATGACCGTAGCCTCTTCTGGGGAGTATAATTTAGACGGGTGAAAAATATTGCCGCGTTGCGAACCCCCCGCTGATAACATTATATGCTTTACGCCTCGGTACAGGGTGCGAATTTCGTTTTTCTTCTGTTCGACGTTTGAAGGATAGCTTGAGCGCGAAATAAGAAAATATCTGTCTCGTCAATATGTGTTTAAGGCACGTAGGCGCGTTACATTTGCAGAAGGAGATAAGACCGAGAGCTAGTGTATGCGGATATAGCCTGCGACACTAAATTCCACTTTATCTCTCGTGATACATCTCGTCCGGTTCTCCTCCCAACGCGCATTTACAGTGAATTTGCAAATTTGCCTCGGGGGTTGCAATGAACTTTGCGGGACTAATCTATTTTGTATATATATTGCATACGTATAAGTATGTATATTTATAAACCGAGCGTGCACGAACTTACAAATACTCACTTTGATTTTATCGTTGACGCGAGATTTTTTCTTCCTTACGAAAATCAATATCGTGGTTGTATTAAATTGATCGTGATCGAACTCATGATTCTTACGTTTGGTACGAACATAAAAATTCATGTATGACGCAATAAAAAATGGTCGTTTATTGCACTCGTATAATAAGGCCATAAATGTTCATTATCGATTGTTGCCCACATGCATTAGTAGAGTCTCTCTGTGTCTCGTTTCTCCTTTTTTTTGCCATTTCTTTTTTATTCGTGTCGATATACTAGAAAAATATATCCGCTTAATCAGCTTGCAAGTCTATTGAAATATGAATCCAGACGTATATGGAAGTTTTCTATTGAGACGCGTTTGTTTCTGAAAGCTCACAGTGAGAAGCTTTGTATACGTAATGCGCACGCCAGTGGGCACTTAATAAAAAGCGAAGAATAGATCGATGGTCGTAATACTAGGAAGATTTTTGCAGAGGTGTGAGCTTATAATTTCGTCTATCGTATTTACATTTTATCGATTTATTTTCAATCTGATCTCGCAGAGTTTGTGGATATATTTTTTTCTCGAAATATTTACACTAATATACCGTACTTGAAAGCATAAAGTCATGTTCATGGGATGATCAATCGAGGGGAATCATCGTTTTGGCGTGCGAAAGACATCTTCAGCACGCTTCGCGAGTTTTCATCGGAGGCAGTCGTTCTTCAAAAGATTTTACGCGCTATAAAAGAAAAGCCGAAAAAGTTCATGGAATGAATTTCTATTTCAGTTTTACATTGGCTAATTACGTGCTCGTTAAAAGCGATCTTCACCTACTTCGTGCTCGAGGTGTATGACAGAGGGTGTGTGCCGTGGCTGCTGCTGCTGCTCGAAAGGAGGGGGCATTTGTTGATTTATTTTCGCGAATGTTCAAAGCAACTTTGAAACGAGAATCTCGCGTGTATGCATTTTACGCATTATGCAATTTGTGCGTTCGAACGTTGTGACTCATTACTCGCGCCGCAATCTCGTCGAAAGTATATATGGTCGTTGATTCGCGCGCTTACGAGTCCCGGTGCTTTTCGCTTTCTCTGCATCGCTCGCCCAAGGCATAGTAAGAAAAGCTCGCAATGTAATCTCGCTTTCCCGCTGCAAATAAAAGAAACAACGTGACCAATCGCAGCTTGGACAAAGCAAAAGAAAGAAAGCTCGTGCGCGCGAGCGGCTAACTTTATCTATCCTATATAGGCAGACCTGCGCTTGCAGCTCGCTCGAGCGATAGCGCACGACGATGCTATTAATGCGAGACAGGTTTATTAACAGATTTATATTGCCATTTGACACAGTATTAGCTGTCGCGCCAGCGAGATTTACGCCTTCGGCTGCAGTGCGTACATGTCCAATCGATACGTGCCTACAATATCTATACGTACACGTATAAACGCACATGTGCGATTCGTTTATCGCCGAGCTGCACACGACTACACGACTTGTACTTCCGATATAATCTAGTCGCCTTCGTAGTGTTCGCAATTTTATATACATTATATTATGCGCGTATACTTTTCGCGCGATGCTCTTAAAAAAAAGATTTTCAGGCCGCATCGGACACACGATCGGTGCTGCACCTCACCGGAGAGTCGCGCGCTGCCATTTTCCATTGTTTCGTCCACATTCGCCCGTGTCTTTCCTCTCTCGTTGGCGCAACTTTTGCCCGCTGCTTATTATGCAACGCTCATTCGCCCGTTTTGTATACAACAACGTGAATCATCGCTCGCATAAATGCACCGATGCAACGATCAAATTTTCTCGCCAAATGTGTCCGATTGCCACATACACTTTGAGGATCGCTAAAAGAGATGTTTATAAAACTCGAAGAGCCGACGACTCGTTTGATAAGTCATCATACGTGCTTATATAAACACGCGAGAAACATTATGAATGAAACGCCAACGCCTCGATCATACACACGCGTACACGCGCGCACACACGTACACATGCACGCACTCGTATTTATAGGTTCAAATGTGCAAGTCGCAATCGAAAGCAGCAGCAGCAGCACCGGCAGCGGCATCAGAGTAGGGAGAGTCAAAGGAAAAAAGCTTGATTGAAAGTGACGGCCGTGAATGCAAGGAGCGGCACATGTATACACGCACACACTCGCTCACATTATACGGACACTCTCGCATATATACACGTATCGCAGCCAATGAGGCTCGGCCCTCGAGCTTCCTCTGTTTTATAATACGTATATTAATGTCTGCGCGTATACGCGACGATGGCGGCAGCGTCGGCGGAACTCATCCTCGGACTTTCCATGTTGAGTCGAGCACGTGCGTTCGATTTTCTTATTTTCATTGTCAAAGCTCCGATGTACTCGTTACAGCTGGAGGAAGACGAGTCGTGATTGTATACAAATGCATCTATACAACAGTGCCGCATCGAGAAACGATTGTGACGATAAGACTGCAGCGATAAAAATACACTTGTACATTACCCACGTAATGTTTCTATATTTAGATGAAAGTATTCGCAAATCTCCATACTCGCACAAGCGCTTGGCTCTCTTCAGAAATTGATACATTAATTATATTTCGTATTCAAATTGAAGGCAAAATTGATATGAAAAATTTCTACTCGTAATACAAGTTATTATAATTTGAAAAAGAATATTGTAATTCATGTTAGCCGAGAGAAAATAGAAAAATTGTGAGCTATAAAAGTCGACGGGGAGGGTTGCAATTAAAAAGGAAGCTGAAAATGGCCGATTGACCTTTTTCGTGTTATTTAATGTCTGCGTTTACCTTTGATATTTTAACGAAAGCTCGACTCGGGTAAATATGTCTGTATGCTTGACTGGCGCTTTTGATACGCTCGCCTTCAATTATTCTATGTATTAAAGACACACAGGTACATTTATCATGAGAGTACAAATAGAAAAAAGAGCATTGGCAAACATGGGGTTTCTTCCATAAGATCGCACGTTCGTTATTCAGAAGCGTAATTTCGTTAAATCGGTCACCAGGTAGTGCTTTCTTGAAGTTTTGTTGTGCTCCCGAGAGAAAATCATGTCCAACTGAATAAATTTGAGCGACGCCAAAAGAAGGATACTTATTGTGTGATTTTTAAGACATTTAATTGTTGAGTTCGATTATTTACGCATATATCGTAAAGAAGTCTGTCGGTGAGGATGGCTCAAGGTATAGCGGGAAAAACGAGCGCAAGCGTCGATGAAACTCCCAGCGAAGATGTCAATAATCTCGCACTACCCGAGCGTAGAACACGCTCTGAAAGGTATATACGTATATTTTTATTTGGTTTTTTTATGAGTTAACGGAGAGCTTCGTGAGCACTGAAAAGTTCGATAATTTGTCACAATTAGTTACTAGTTGGTCACAATCGTGAAGTTTCGCCTCATATTTCTCGCTGAGGACGTGCCTTTTTTCAAATTTTTTTTTACTTTGTAATTGTAATCAAATTACTAAGAATCAAGTCCTTAGCTATGAATAAATGTTACTACTATACATCTCTATTTTTCTTTGTTGACTAATGCACTCCAATATCTTGATGAACGATCAAACTAATTATTGACATGATTTGTAAGTGCTCGGATATGTCCTCGTTCAATTAATTAATATCGTCGTAGTCTAGTTTTCCATTCTACGAAGTTCATTAAATTTACTAATTAAAACTTTTCCTATACTTACTTTCGAATAAACTTCAACTATGAGTTATAAAAAAGTTTAAACTTTACGATACTTGAATTCGAAAATGACTAACCTTAAGAAATTCAGTAAAAACGCTCTTTAATACTCGTAGAATTGAAAACGTTAGAGAGATATCATTCAAATGCTTTTAAAAAGTAGTGATTGAAAAATATACGAATTAAAAAAATAGGTTGTCGCTGCATATGCTGTAATCATGAGAAATCATTTGATTTCGTTAAAAATTAGAGCTGAAAATTCGATAAATTCAGCAATGAATATGATCAAACAAACAAACCAACGAAGTACTATTTGCAATGAATCAAAAGTCGAAAGGAGTAACGCCTCGACGTTACTACACTCAGTGTTGTCTGTCGTAATTTCAAAACTAATAATGGACAAATGAAAATAATAATGTCGATTGTGTCGAATATTCCTAATAATCAGTGACTGTGATGGAAGCGGGGCATTCCCAGGCAATTCGGCAGGCAGCTCGTCGAACAGCAGTCTGTCGACCCGCAGCCTCGACAGTCCCAGTATGAGCTTAGAACAGGTTCACCCATCGGCATCAGCGTCTTGGGATAGCGATGTCGATGTCGAGGCAGACCCACCGGACTGGAGTCAGAGCGTCACTGAAGAAGTCCTTGCGAGTCTTAGCAATACGGAGAAAAAAAGGCAAGAAGTAATTAATGGTGAGTAGTCATTCGTTCGTTCAGTCATTTGTCGCACAAGCCCTATGATTTCACGTGTAAAATATCAAATTGTTTTTCCGCAGAATTATTTCACACGGAGCGGTCGCACGTTCGGGCGTTGAAAGTTCTGTCACAAGTCTTCCATAGGCCGCTACTAGAAGCGCAAGTATTGCCGGCCGACCAATTGCAGTTGCTTTTTTCGAATCTCGACGAGATGGTTCAGCTTCACTCGCAGTTCAATCAGGCAATGAAGCGCAAACGCAAGGAAAATCCCTGCGTCGGCGACATCGGCGATCTTTTGCTCGACATGTTTGACGGCGAGGCAGGAGAAGTTTTCGAACGCGCTGCTTCGACGTTCTGTTCCAAGCAGCAGGTGGCCCTCAATGCGCTCAGGGAGCAACGTCGAAAAGACCCTAAATTAAATACGATCCTCAATGACATCGAGGCTAATCCACTATGTCGCAGGTAAACATTTTTCTGATTACTTTAACGAACATTTTTTCATCGGTTGACGATTGACAGTTACATTAATGAACGTTTACTGTGTTGCGTTATAGGCTACAGTTGAAAGATCATATCCTGACAGGTATGTTGCGTCTCACAAAATACCCACTGTTATTCGACAACCTGGCCAAATACACGGCCGAGCAAAACGAAAAGGAACGTACGGCTGTGCTGCGCTGCTTGGCTCGTAGTCGCGAGATTCTTCGGAGCGTTAATCAAAAAGTCAAAGAATCCGAAGACCATCACAGACTTGCTGAAATTCAAAGAATGATCGATCGTTCAGCTTTCGACAAAGTTGAGCATCCCTGCGTTCAGGAATTCAAGAATCTCGATATTACTAAGCGTCGTCTCATCCACGAAGGAGTACTCTTGTGGCGTACTGTCACAAAAAAACCAGTCGAGTTACACGTTGTATTGATGGACGACACAATTCTCTTATTGCATAAATCAGATGATGATAGATTAGCCCTGAAATTCATTTCTCACATGAATTCGGTTCTAAGTCCGATCGTCCGAGTATCAACAGCACTTGTCAGGCACAACGCAGTCGATAAAAACTCATTGTACTTGGTCAATACATCCCAAAACGGGGCGCAGATTTATGAACTTGTGGCACCTTCGCAGGAAGAGCGCAAGCTCTGGTACAAGCATATCAACGAAGCTGCCGAGGCTCTCAAAGAAAAGAATGACAAAAGAATGACAACGAGCAGTTCGTCTAATGATCTCGGCGAAAGCGCTGAAGATAATCTGTTGCCAGAGACGCCTTTCAAGGTAAGTCCAATTTTTCTTATTAATCGTCATCATTTCCTTTTTCTCTTTTCATTTACTCTAAACCTTTCTATTATTTTTTTATTTTAGGAAAATAGTAATAACGAAGCGAATCACGCGAATAAAAAAGAAAGCGAACCAGAAAAACGTAAGGAAACAAGTACCGTTGAACCTGTTAAAACAAACGATAGTAATTTGCAGCAGTCATCTTCGGAATCTGTTGATTCTGCTAGTGTTGTTTCTCCGGAAAGTACAACGACTACTGAAAATAAATCTGCAGCGCCGGTCGCTGAAGATCATAAAAAACAACAGACCGAATCAGAAGATTCAAATTTACATCAACCAAGTGGCGTAGAATCATTGCGACTTGTCACTTGCACACAATGCTCGCTTATTGATCCAGTCGAGGTTCACGTTGAAGAGCGTCCTGTACACGTTGCTGAACCTGTATTAACACCTATCGAATCGCTCCGGCGAATAGACGAAACGGTCAAGAAAGCTTTAGTCGATAAACAAAATATAATTTCGAATATATTGCATGGATCAAAAAGGAACGAAGCTGAACACGCTGATGATTCAATAAAGAAGGATGCTGTTCTTACAGAACCACAAGAGCTTATTGTCTCTGCGATAGAACAAAGTAAGTTTTTACCTAATGACTAACCAATCGCTACATGAATAAATTTTGATTGCTCAACCCGGCTCTAATCGGAGAACTTTGTACAAAAATGTAATTTCATTAATAATATTTTCAGCAAATCGATTAGTTACAATGATGAATTCAGCATTAACGCTTAGCGAAACAGAAACAGTATTGGCGTCCCAGAGCAGCAGTAATGCAGGTATCAATGCAGCAGCAAGTTGCGAGGCGACAGGATGCCCCACACCACGACTTCATTCACGTACGAACTTGGAACCAAGTATATCAGTATCCAAAATACAGCCTATATGCACGACGATTGCGTCACAACTAGTACAGTTACTTGTAAGTGATTATTTTTTTGGTACTGATCGTACTTATTTTTCAAAGAATTGAGAATTATCACTATTATCAAATATATAAAAAATTCGAAAAATTTGATTTAATAACATGTAATTTTTACTAATTTGATTCCTTACGTTTGATTTGGTACTACAGGAAATTATTAAAGATAGAGATGAAGAACGAGAAAGGTTACGAAAAGAATTACGGCGAAGTAGAGAACGTTTGCATGCGATTGATGCCGAGGTGCAACGTCGAGAAACAACGGATGAATTCAATGTTACTTCTGAACTTTCGCTAAAAAATGAACAAAGTATGGATTTCATATTTTTTGTCACGTAAATTTAATGAATGCTCCAATTCAATGAATGTATTAACCAACATTTTTTTTATAGACACAAGTGCTGAAATAACTGATCAAATCGTCAAAAATGATTGCAGCGACGGACCGAATCAAGATGTAGGTGAACCATTGCTATTTCTTCACATGTTATTATAAAGTTAATTTGTCGATAACTGAAAATTTATGAAATTTTTAGACTTCCGTCGACACTGAAATTGTGACAGTACCATCACAGCAGCCAGCAGTAGTAACAACTACAGAGCCAACAGATAATCCCAAACAAAGTTTAGCATTAACAGATTCTAAAGAAGCAATTGATAGTAATGTGAGTGGACCTGTCTAAGTCCGGTACATAAGACAAAGCATCGTCGAATCATGTATAATTGTGTTCCGACGACTGCAAAATTACTACTCTTTGTCCAGTGTTACAGTGAAAAATGTGCGCCACATTAAAAAAAAGAAGTACCCTGTTAAAAACAACTGAAATTAATTTGAATTCACACCTGGACCCGTGGCCTAAGAGTGGGAAATTATAAATACGATTTACTTTACTTTAGACAATGGGGGGCGGCAGCAAAAGCAGCAGTCACCAGCATTTTAATTCGCATACGCAAGTTAAGCGTATAAATAAATTTAGATAATCATTTACCGCATGCATGAGTCGAATGACTAACAGCAATGGAAGCGTCTCACATAAGTCTTGACACAAACGCGCCTATACATACATTATGCTTTCTTCAATGATTTCGTGCAACAAGATTATTATGCATGAAATCCTTAAGAGTATTTACGCGTCATAATTCGTGTTTTTTTAGACGTAAACACTGTCTATCATGTCTTTCCTAATTTTAAAGTAAATACAACGCCGGTAGATAAGGATACGTACGCAAAGTGCCTTTATAATTTTTACACAATTTTATATCGATATTAGCACATTTTGGATGTACGAATATTGTGTAGTTGATAGTTTGTACTGGTGTTTATTATGGAATTTTATATATCAAATATACCAGAAAAGTCTTATTGACTCTTTGTAAAGCTATTATTACTAAACTTTGTATTTAATTTTAAAAAGGGCAACATATGATATGAGTTGTAAAGTGCAGTGTTACAAGATAAAAGAGCTCAATTGAAAACATTTTCAACGAAAGTATGGTGAAATTACGATTTGAGGAAACGTCTTATTGATTCCTTATAAGATCTAGGAACTTAAGCGTAAAATTGTTGAAAGTTTTGTGTAGTAAAAAGTGGAATAAAAAATAATTTGTAAAACTTGATACTCTTCAATTTTACAAAGTATTTTAATCACTATATCAAACTACAAATATAGCTATAACATGCAAATCTTGCTTAGTCAAACTGACACCGTCGTTGTTTCTCTTGAAACAAGCACGAAATCATTGAGTGGATGTTACATTCTTTGTTTCTGGGTGGGATATACATATTTCAACATCATTAAAATAATAGTATAGAATATAAAAAAATCAAATATTATGAACTCATGCGTATAGTTAAATTGTAAGAAAACGAATCAATGAATTTTGAAAATTACATATGTAACACGTGTATAAAGGAAATATCTAATAACTTTGTTAGAACGTAGGATCGTAGTAGAGAATATTATTACTACTATTATTATTATTATTATTAATATTACTATTATCATTATTATTATTGATCGATTATTAATTATATTATAATTATTAGTTGTATTATTGTCATTATCAGCTTCGTATTATCAATATTTTTTTTAATTAAAAAGCATATTGAATCAAAAGTATCATTGTGTATTTATGTACATTTTAAAACTTTTTATTTATGTTTAGATGGTTTTTTCCATTTTTTTATTTACGTTATTTGTGTATTTTTGAGTTCTTGAAAATTCGAAATAAAATATCTATTTCACCATACAATTGTACACATGCATACATATTGTCAAATGAACAGGTTTTTATCAAACGAATAATGAAATATTGTGAACCGTTTACTGTAACATTTACACTGAATTAACGATATAGCTTTTTTACCGAATATCTGAAAATTTATAAAATATTTATATTCTTGTGACATTCAACCAAATTTGATAAGAATTTTTTACATTTTAAATAAATCATGTCCGATATTCTGTGCGAATAGTATTCTTTCACTTGACACGAGTAGAGAATAACTTTGTAATAAAAAATCTTTTTCTCAACTACAATCAAAAATTGTGTATTTTTATGGAGATATTGTATGAATTAAGAAGTTTACATGATATTCGATGAAAGTTTTCGTGAAAAAATTACCTTCAACCTTTTCACTCTGATCAGTAAAAAATAAAAATTTATATACTACCTCAATTGAATTTTATTCATTTATCATGCAAAATCATAAAAAAGAACACCACGAGTATTGAAAATAATTTCGCTTATGTAACTACTAAAGTTGTACAGTTATTCTTTTATACAAAACCTATGAAAATCGATCACATTTTAAACGCGCATCAACTGTGATTTACTGCGGTCATGGAAAATCGAAAAAATGTAAATTGTCATAATTTTTCACAATACAATTCACTCTTACTGTCGACAAAAATAATTTCTTATCATTAGTATCCTAGAGTCAAGTGGTAAGTGAAAAAACCAATGTTTTATACTCTGCCAAAACTTTAATAAAAAAATTTCTAGAGGTTTTTTTTAACTTTCAATATGATTGCCTTATAATTAATTAAAAAGTAAAATGAAAATTAGGGTTTCAACATACGTGAATCAAGTTTAAGGTAAACTTAAATTTATTTCAAATATTACATTATTTATGTTAAAAAAATCCATTCTATACATTTTTTACAATTGTAAAAGTAAAATTAGAATTTTTAACTAAATTTTACCAGTGTATTTGTAAGAGCTCTTATAGGTGTCGTATAAACTTCTAAAAATTTGTTGAAGTGCAACAGGCAGTGCTCGTAGTAGATTATTCACTATGTGCCGATCGGAATCGCTTAATAGTAGAAATATCAAAGACTCTATTGCAGTTTTCAAAAACTCTGGCAAAGTAGTTGGTCTACCCAAGACGTGTATCAAATGCGCAATCAAGTCCTGGCTTGTAAATGATGGATTTTTTTTCATTTTGCCCAGAAATATACAAAACCTGCATGAATAAGAATGTTAAAATTTGTCAAACACAAAAAAGAATAAATAATGAGTGTTCAGAAATCAGATATTTACTTTTCTAAATCCACTGCTAAAATTTTCAATGTATCTTCATTTTTAAAATTGTTCTCCTGTGCTTCTTTTAAAATTATTTCAAGTATACTTTTATATTTTTCAATTAAAGTGTATAGTCTATCATGCATCAATTCTGTTTTGCACCGTAGAAAATCTAAACACAAACCTAAATCTTCTTGACAAATTTCTAAAACATTTTCGATGCATTCTATTTCTACATACTTGGAAGTAGTTATAAAAATTTCTTCAATCAGTTCGTTGATCAGTGTTGAAGTTATCATCCGTTTAGATGTTATAAGTGCTCGACAAAGTTTGATCAAGAATACATGCGATAATATACTTATGTTTTTATTTTTAATATTAAGAAACATATCAATTATGACTGTAGTCATACGATTTGATCTACTTCCTTTGCTTTCAGCCTTAGATAAGTTTTTCCAAATTGTCATTAGAGTAACTAAGGATAAAACGTTTCCTTCTATTAAACTTGTTTTCTGAAAAAAAAACACATAATCGATGATTAAATTCAAAGTTCAATTCAAAATTATATAATTGTACAATTATGCAGCACTATTACCGTTTCATTACAAAGAATATCCACAAAATATTCAAATTCATCATCTTTCAAGATTTCAAAAAGATATGGAAATGATATTCCATTGGGATTACTAATAACTAAAGCACAGATGTTTTTTGTCATTTCTTGATTAAAAGTAAAATATTCTCTGTGGGTCAAGGCTAAAATCCACAATTGCAAACATTCTTGAGTCAAAGAATGTACATTTTTGTTTGCCTGCCAATAAAAATATTATTTTTCTTTAATGGATTAAGTTTGTAATTATTTATTTTTGAATTTTATGTCTTTACCTGTGTTAATTCAAAAAGAATCTCCTGTACATTTTTTTTAACATGATCTTTTAATTTTTTTTTTTCCATTAATAAAATTTTTATAGAAGATCTCAAACCAGCGACTTCTATAGCAGTAGTAATTTTTTCATCAAGATTTTTAGTAATTTTTTTGCTCAATCTTAAAAATAGTTTATTCAAAGCACTTTTATGCTCTTGTGGCATATTTTTGTGCTTTAAACTTTCGGCACTTGATATGAGATAGCAACAAAGTTGTCTGTTACAATTATTTTCAAGAATAAAATTTTCCCAATGATCGTATAACGTTAATTCGTCAAATGAAAGTTTAAAAATTTGAACTAATATATCTGGATAGCAAGAAAAATGTTGTATCATTATTAAAGGTTGTGGAACCCACTTTAAAACATTTATATCTTTCTCAAACAATAAATCTGCAAACAAAAATACAAATGCATTAATTATATTCAGATGTTAACAATTATGAATAATTTTGATGTTAATAACAATATTATGTTTATAATTATTAAAATTTTCACCTTTATATATGGTATTAAATGATACTTTTTCTTCTGTAGAATTAATAAATTCCTTCTCAAATTGATAAATTATAAGGAATAAATACTGCCTAAGAGTTTTGTGAGTGAACATCAGATGTAAACATCTTATAATTTCCAATTTTTCTTCCACTTTGGTTAAATTTACTTCATCAATTGACTTGAAATTTTGTTGAGCTATAATCTTTTTAGCACGCTTGAAAACGTCATGCAGATTGTCTGGATTATCTAATGTATCTAATAATTTTTCCTAATAACAATGAAATTTTGAGTGCTACAATTGTCACATATGAAATATCAATAGTAATTAAACTTACATAATCAATTTTTCCTAACATATTTTTTGTAGAGCTGTTTGAATCTTTGACAAGAGCTGTTAGGGATTCTAAAAATATTGCAACCACTAATCTTTCAGTTATGTCCTCTGGTCTTGTTGCACAGAATGATTTCCATACTGATAAACCTTCGGTATTGTTTACAATTTGTGAGGCAATCGATAGAATTTGCTTAGAATTAAAAAATTCCAAGTGCTTAAAATGATTAACTAAAATTGTCTTCCAATGTTCGCCCACAAACACCTCATTCATGTTCTCACTGGTATTAAATAATACATTTTTGACAAGTATCAATTTATTCTGCAAGAAAAGTACAGACAATAAATCTTTCTATCTGCTGTTAATTATTATTTTCAAAATAAACTCACCATTGAAGTTTCAAGATCTTTATCTTTCTTACAAAGTTTTTTCAATTTTTTTAATTGATCATCTGTTAAAAAGAATTTTCCATCCTCTTTGCGTTGCCTATAATAGTTCAAACATTTAAGGACTTCACAAAATGTTTTGCAAATATCAATAAAGGATTGAGTTATAACTTTATTCTGCTTAGAATTTGTACAAATTTTTTCATAGTACAAAACCAAAATATTTTCTAACTCTGTAAAAGCCTGATCAAATTTCAACTGACAGTTTTTTGGTATAAGAGAGTCCAAATATTTAGCGTTGTATAACACAACTGTTAATATTTGTGACATCACCTTCGAAGAAAGACTAACTGAAACTATAAAAAGAATTATTAATAAACTACAAATACAAATGATCTATTGTTTTTCTGATAAAATAAGTACCTGTGCTTTGTTGATCTTGCAATTTTTCAACACAGTCTTTATTTAGGTGAAAAATCAATGTTCGCAAAATTGCAATAACTTGACTACTGGTAAAATCCTTCAGATCTTGAACGAATTGTTCAAGAAAAGATTCTGGCAGTTGAAATACTTCGATATCCTCGACATTGTTTGTGTTGCCCTCGGTTAATAATTTTATATATTTGGGTAAAAACGTGTGTGGTTTTCTCGAGTCAACACTAGTTTTCCACAATTCAAATATATCTGAGGTTTCTGTACTTCCTTCCATTTCGATACACATGTTATTCGCAAAATCGTAATAACTTTGTTGTTGCGAGTCTCGTTAAGAAGCACATGCAGAAACTATATAACTATCAACCACGTGCAAAGCTACAATGGGCTCTATTTACCATAAGGCAGTTTAAGAGATAGATGGCGCTGGCATTGGTGTTCAGCCGGCTGCACTGCAGCCTGCAAGTAAGCGGTCCGAGTTGTGGCCTACACTCTACAGGCTGAGCTCCGAAAAATTACATTTCTATATTCTAGTTTTTTTGCATTTGAATCTTTAATGGTTTAGTTTTTCACAGTTCGTCAGTAGGTTATATACAATAAGCAACTCTCTAAATGTGCATCCGTTTATATTTATATTATACACGACGCGTGCAAGATTCTCTGCGCGTTTCTCATGTAACATCAAAACAAAATGGGCTTTTAAAATAATAAATTAATTATTTTAATGAAGAATTCATAAGTTGACAACAACACAAAGCGACTACGAGTATTGGAAACATTTTATCTTAATTTTCTATATTTATATTAAATTTATACTGAGTAACTATTATTAGCCACCCTTCTAATGCGAAAAATTTCTCTCTAAAAAATAATCACCAATTTATGGTACAAATTATTCATATTTTTACGAAGAGGCATATTTGTGTGTCTCAAACAATTTATGCGCAATGTTTTTGTCAAGTAGATAAATTGATATGAAAGATAAATAACCGTTAGAGAATCTAAATTCCCCATGTGATAATTTTGCCGCGTTCTAAGGAGCAGAATAAAGGATCTTTCATAGTATCTGCCCTGTTGATTGCAACCAGATGAAACCTTAAGAAACCAATACGTGAAAGAATCTTTTCCGGTAAGCCGAGTTTCACAGTTGAAAAGTTATATGGGATTTTAGTGTCTTGACTGGTTTCTCCAGGATTTAAATCAAATCAAAATTGCGAATGTCTGCTCTACTGTTTTCAATACGGTAAATCTAACCTTTATATCTCGAAATAAATATGGAATGAAGTGGTTTTGAATGTGAGACAACATTTGTAGGTTTCTAGTGGGGAATAACTCGACAAACGTCACGCCTAGAAATACTGGTTTGAAACTGTATGAAATGTGATGATATTTTAAATGTTTTCTATCGGGAAATGTACGTGAATTGTTTTAGTGGAATCAATGGGATTTCAATAAATAAATCTGATATTCATTTTACGTGGTTTTAATGCGGGATTCCGGGTGCAGAAACCGACTAGAAAGTTGGTTAAATTTTAATTGATATGGTTTGAAGTGGATCCGATTTGAAACCGATATAAAAATTTAGTCGACTATCTAAATAATTAGTTATAATTTTTAAAAGTTGATAAGTAACAAAATTGTTTTGCTTTTTCAACTTCTTGCGATGTATTCCTAATTTGAAATTCTAAATTTTCATGTTTTCTACTTTGTAACGAAAATTCATATTTAAAATTAAATAATATAAAGTAAATATTTATAATAATACAACATTTTCAGACTATCTTATCGTATCGGTTTACAAGTTTTTTTCCGCATAGAAAATAATGCAAAAATTTTAATTTCATATAATTGAAATACTCTAATGTAAAAAATTCTCTCATAAATCTCTTAAGTTCTCCGGTTTGGTAACACTTTTGTATTTTTAGTGAGACTATTTTAAAGTGAAAACAATTATGTATGTAAAAAAAAAAAAATAAAAATGGACAATTTTGGCATTAAAAAAATTTATAAAGAATATAATTACTTTGAAAAATTATTGCTCAATATTCTCAATTTTTGGCCCAAACTATTACAAAAATAAGAATTTGCCAAATTTTTTACAAGTCAATGATGATACCGATTCAATTGGTTTCAATACGGTCGCAAACAAGCCATTTGATTCCACTTAAATACGGATACATTGTTCTAGAAAAAAGTAGGGGAGGAATCTTTCCGTTTCCTTACATATACCTATATATATGCTGAAGTTTTGTACGATAGAGCGTATACATGGAAGTTTTTGAGTTTTTACGTTGGCGCGCAATCACGTTGGCGCGCAAAAGTCGGTTAGGCTGCATAGTTTGCACTTTGCAATTCTCGTCTTATCCTGCTTTTGCCATTGTTCCGTGTACGACTATTCATGAGAGGATAACCACGGATTACATGATTTAAGTAAGTGTTTGTTTAATTATCGTAAAATTAATACTATGAACGCGTCATACAGTAAATTTTAATAACGTTTTACGTAATCATTTTATCTTCGTTTGTTTAATGAAGTTAATTTTAGTTTAAACTTGTTCTCTCGTGTGAAATTGTTATTTCAAGTAACCTCAAAAATGTTTTTAAGATACAATTATTATTTCTTTTATCAAGCATTATGTCCTTTGCGTACATGAAGTTGACGAATGGTGAATTCAAAATCACAGAGACAGCAAATATTAAGAAATTCTCTGCAGAAAATCATAATACCTGTAAACAATATATTATAACTGATACAAAGGAGCGTGGAATTGTTGTTTTCCTAGCAGGTAATTTTCGAACAGGCTAAAGAAAAGATTTCTAATAAAAAGTATAATTAAATAATTTTGTATTATTTTTCACAGAAACGCTTTCTGATCTGAACTTGAAAATTGATTTTGATAGGAAGAAGGTGCCACCATCACACCTTATTTTATCTGCTTCTGACTCAAGTAGCTCTGAAGTTCCGGTTACAAAAGTCAACCAAAATCAAGCCCAAGATACTGCTAAGTTGCTGACGGAAAAATTGAAAAAACTTAATCAAAAGGTATTTCATGTCATACACACAACGTTGAACTCACATCCATTCATACTAATCTTCATATTCAACTCATTTATCGATAAACTGACAATTTTCGCAAACTCTTAGAAGCTCTTTGAAACGTGTAGTTAAAATATCATTTACATAGCAGTAGTATTCAGAATTTAATTTTCACTTCTATAACATAAAACTATTTGTGTCAGTGAAAACCATTAACTTTGGAAATTAGTCAATAGAATCTTTTAAACCCACATTTGAAATGACATTTCTTTGACAACTTGAAAGAATGTTTGAGCTGGCAAGTACACTCAACGCAGAGCGTTGAAACCAAGCCGACTGAATGTTGTACAATACTTAGTCACACATCATCCAAGGTTTTCACCAAATAGCTTTTCTTATTGCGTAATCTTACACAATTAGCATGTAAAAAGATGTTATTTATCACACATCATATATCATAATAAACTTTTTGAAATGTCAGATAGTATGTCTACGTATTGTACAACATTCAGTCTGCTTGATTACAATGTATGCGCTGAGTGTATTTGACAGCCCAAATATTTTTTAAAGTTGATCAAGCAATAGATTTTCAAATTTGTTTTCATAAGAGATTATTGACTTCTTTCCAAAGTAAGTGATTCTCACTGGGAAAAATATTTTAATATTGTGAGAGTTAAAATGAAATTCTACCTATCATTTAAAGCAAAGAGTTATTTCTCTTCTGTTTTTGTGTTGACCAATTTTTGAGTATTAGGTCATTGACAATGCTTAATTCGATTGACAAGATACACCTCATCCAAGATATTACTTGCTAATTGTGTCAGATTACACAAAAGGATGGCTTTTTATTGAATAACATTTTATTTATTACAAATCATGAATTATAATAAACTTTTTGAAATGTCGGATAGTATGTCTACGTTATGGTACGTCATTCAATTGACAAGGTTTTTATATCTCTATTTATTACATATCAGACATCTTAAAACTTGATTTGTTTTATAAAAATTGCATCTGCTATTGTTGAAAGAAATATTTTTGAAATTAGTCCAATCACCTGTTTGAAAAGTGCATTTATATGCAGCTTCATGTCCATGGATAACGAGACTATTTTCATATTCCCAAAAAAAATTTTTTTCACTATTACGTAAAGAATTGTACCCTTTCTACGACCTTCTTGTAAATCTGATTCAGGTTAAGTCATTGAAATTCCTGATATAACAATTACGTAAAGAATTGTACCCTTTCTACGACCTTCTTGTAAATCTGATCCAGGTTAAGTCATTGAAATTCCTGATATAACAATACTTTGGAATTTTTTAATACTCGTTACAAATATGTTAATCCATAAAAATACATATGACTCTCACTATTTTAACGGAGTGAAAATCCATCTAGTATTTTAATATAATTATTTTCAAAGGGATTGTCAAAAGTTCAATTACAATGGCGAAAGTAAAGAAACATTATAAACTCTTTTTTTCTGCAAATTACAATCCACGGAATGTCAGCCGATGGACTCGAAACAGATGGGCCAAGATTCTGCTTAAACACAATGAAACATTAAAATGTAAGTGTTAGGGTTAAATTTGAAAATTTTGTTTCCTATAACCGAGTATGGCATAATTATATTGTAAAGTATATTAGATCACGAACTCAGCCTATTTACTGAGTACAATGTACTCAGTCTATGATTTATCACGAGGATCATTACAAGTAACGAGACGTTACTGACGGTTTAGAAACTTAATTTTTACAATTTATATTCACAAGGTATTTTTAAAAATTCAATTCTCATAATTTGTCTCTCGATAATTACTTATTTGTTACACTTCGATTTTTTTCGTCTACTCGATCATATTTGTACATTTATACTCGGTTTTCGACTTAAATTCTCCGTAAAAAGTCATTGATTCCATATAGATTTTGAAAAAATTAATAATCATCGGGTTATATAATATACGTAGATTAATTTATTTGAAATAAAAAAAATTCGATAAAAATAGTTTTGAGTCTGGTATGGAATTATAAACCGTTTTTTTTTGTATATCAGAATACCACTACACCAGTTTGTAATTGTTAAGCTTATAAATCGGACTTGTAATAGCCACAAAATGTGCAACAAAATTATAAATTATTATGTTACACGTATAATTCATAATAAACGTTATAGTTATGTACATTATGTGGCTGAGTGGTCAATGCGTCCAAGTGATAAATCAAAATCGCAGGTTCGATACAGAACTCCCGAAAATTTTCCAAAATACATACAAATAATAAGTACAAATACATTTCGGTCTTAGAGTTACCATTGATACTTCCCACACGCGTTAAATAATGCATTATTAGCTCGGGAAAAAATTTAAATAAAAAATCCACTCAAGTTTATTTCAATATCTTTCAGCGCTCGAAATAATTTTATACTTTTATTTTAGTGAGAGCTTCGATGAAATCTGGTGTTTCTACAAACGATGAAATGAATGCAAATTTGATTACAAATTCAAATGATCACAATATCATTGAACAATATGACAATGCTATGGACGATCAAAACTGTCATGAAATTAACGAAAATAGCGTTGAAGAGATAAATGAAAGTCTTGATTATAGCGAAAATCATTGTAGAGTAGTATTCGATTCGGATGACGATGATAGCGACAGTGATGAAGAATTCTTGAATGGTGATGTCGAAAATCCGAAGGACTCGAATAAACACGTTGTTGATGATCGGACTATGTTTCCTTCATCTGGATGTACAGTAACCGAAGTGATTACGATGTTAAATGCATTCATAATCAAATTTAATCCAACAAAAAAATTACAAGATGCTCTTATTGAACTTGTTAAAGTACTTGCCGGGGAGCAATTCAAGACGTGGAATTACAACTCGTATCGTATTAAAAAACAACTAAATCCTTCTCCGGGGGGGTGTACAAAACATTTTTATTGTGAAAAATGTAATGAGGTTTTATTATCAATAGAATCTTCAAAAAAAATTGACTGCACCGTTGAATGCTCCTCGTGTGGCGATGAAATAGTTTTATGTCACCGATCCAAAAACTTCATTACCCTCAAAGTTAAGAATCAATTAGAAACGTTACTTAATAGACCCGATATTCAAGAGCATATGCGAAACTTTGTCGAAGAAAGAGAAACTTATTTAGAAGATGGTATAACTGATGTTCAAGATTCCCTCAAGTACAAACAGTTACAAATGGCGCATCCAGGAGCATTAACGTTTAATTTTAATACTGATGGAGCACAGCTCTTTAATAGTTCTAAAAAAAGTCTTTGGCCTTTACAACTGTATATAAATGAGCTACCTCCGGAAATCAGATTCAAACATATAATTATTGCTGCCTTAATGGAAACAGAGTCAGAGCCTACCGCTAAATTAATGAACTTGTACATGAAAGAATTGGTAGAGGAGATGCAGCAGCTACGCGAAGAAGGTGTTCAAATTATAAATAGTTTATCTGGTGAAGTTGAGTATGTATCAATCATGCCGTTTACAGGAAATGTTGATACAGTTGCCCGACCAAAACTGCAAAATCGTATTCAATTTAACGGAGCATACGGCTGCAGCTGGTGCTACCATCCCGGAATCTGGATCGATGGATCAATGCGATACGTTTTGCAAAATGAAGATGCGCCGTTAAGATCACACGTCGAACATGTAAGTGACATGAAATTTGCTTTGGAATCAAATAAGTCAATCAGGGGCGTCAAAGGTGAATCGATATTACTTTCACTTAGCAATTTCGATATTGTGTGGGACTTGCCCCCGGACTACATGCACGGAACGCTGCTAGGAGTTACAAAGCAACTACTTAACAAGTGGCTGAGCATTTTTTTAAAAAAAAAAGAATTAGAAAAAATTAAAACGCGAATGCTCAATATTAAACTCTGCCGTGACATCAGAAGGTCAATACGTCCACTAGAGTTCTCTGGAAAGTACAAGGCCACAGAATGGCGAAATTGGCTGTTATTTGTAAGTTTGCCTGCATTGAAAGATATTTTACCACCAGAAGAATTTTTATCGTACTGCTATTTAGTTGATAGTATATATAGATTATTAAAAGCACCTATTACTCCTGAAGATTTACGAAGAGTAGAATACAACTTATTAAAATTTGTTGGAGAAAGCGAGATGAACTATGGTCGTGGTTTTGTAACTTTCAATTTACACTCCTTAAATCATTTGTACCATGCTGTGCAACAAACTGGACCGCTATGGGCGACTTCAGCTTTTCCGTTTGAAAACGGAATATATCTGTTCATGAAAGAAATAAACGCTCCAAATGGCTGTTTACAACAGTTATCGGAAAAATGGATTCGTAAAAATCAATTCCAAGCTGAGTTATCGCATGCAAAAGAAGATGGAAATCGGATTTTACAGTATTGCCAAAATTTGTTTACCAGTCGTTTGCCACTTAAAAACTGTACAATTATCAATGATGCAGTTTTAACGGGAAGAGTCAATAATTGTCTAAAAATTATTGACTCGGTTGAAAAGGTATTAAAATATGGTCCTCGTTTGATCGAAGTATTCCATCGTTGCATCTTTAAATCGATGTTTCTCCACGGAGTTAATTATAAACGTTGCCTTAAAACGAGTGATACAGTTATTAAAACTATCGACGATAGAATTATTGAAATTCACTATTTTCTTATAGTCGATGGAAAATGCTATATTTATGGGTGTGAAATAGAAGTACAAGATAACGATTTCGGTACTGGTGACGATGGGCTGCCTATAGTTGAGCATATGTACAAGTTAAAAAAAAAATTATCAGTTAAAGTCCTCGTAGAAATCATTCAAATAGATCGAAAGATGTTGGTAATTGACAATACCGTTGACGTTTATCTTTCATGCGTGGCCAATAAATATGAAGTCCAATGACTAAATTCTGTACAAAAACGTTGGTCAACTTCAGTTACATTCATAGTAAGTTGATTAAATAAAACCCGAATATCTATCTTATTTAAGCACTATTATGACATGAAAAAACAACAGACAATTTTTTTTAGTCATTCGATTTTACTGAGCATCGACTTTATCATGTATATAATATATACATATATGAATAAATATAGATATTACATACATATATTTATATCTTATTTATACTAGTAGTCGATGATGGGCTCTGCGCGAATTAATTTGTTAAATACATTTAAATAAGTACGACATGAAGTGCTTATTTCAAATGCAGGCTATCATGATTTCAGAAAAAATCAATGTTTTATTGATTATTTAATATATTTATAAATTATCAAACTTTCATTTTCAATCGCAACTCGTTATCATCACCTTCATCATCATCATCATCATCATCATCATCATCATCATAATTACTCATCTCCTTGCCAAGAGAGGGTTGTTTATGACCAAACAAAAAAATTGTATTTTTACAGACAATCATGAGTTCATCCACTTTAGGAACTGACCAAGAAAACGACTCCTTAAATAAATCTCCTCTGAAAAATGATCGAGTAGATAAGCCTACAAGTAAAAGTGAAAATAAACCAAAGAAGAACAGTAATAAGAAAAAGTCAGACATTGATTTATCAAAAAACTCTAAAGAAAATGATTCATCAAAGGCTAATAAATCTAAACCTAAAATAATAGTCAATAAAAAGCTGCCAAATAATCAAAAAATTACAGTACCGAAAAAACAACAAAATAAAGTACAAACAATAAAAAAATCAGAAATATTGAAGATAAAAGAAGAAAAATGTAAGGTATGAAAAAATACAACTTATCACTGTCTTTTGAACGATAGTAAGAAATTTTGAAAAACTGAATCGCTTTCGATTTTCGTATGCCAAAATTTCCAGCATTACGCGTGGTGTGCCACACACTAATACATAGTTTATTTTAAATTTCTCTCAATAACTCAAACTGCTCTTGCTTATTAAGTTCAATATACTATAGAACAATTTTATATTACACCTCAAAAGTAAACTTAAATTAGTACTTTCAAATAAATTATTACAGTTAAAAGAATTACAATTTTCTTGTATAGATGTAGTAAACTACGTGATAGTGTTTTGTTATAACATCGAATGTAGTAATAATGATAAGACTTCCTTTTTTTTTTGTATTTTACTTTTATTGTATTGAAAAACAGCATTTTCTGCGTCTGTTCTTCAACAGCTTTACAACAATGTCTCTCTTTAATTTTGTCGTAAACCGAAGTATTCGTTTCAGTAATAATGTAACTTTTATGTTTCTAACTCACCTTTTTGAAAAAATTTTAATGATTCTAATATTGTTTTCATTAAATTTAAAAACTTGATTTATTATTTTTTAGAAATCCAATTCAAAAGAAGATATTAAACAGATATCATCCAGCATTCCTGATGAAGAGAATAGTAGCAGTAACGGTCATATCAACGTATCAATAGCTACGAATGGTGATCTTACTCTGCCTATATCTTTACCCGATGTCTTGCAGTCGCAAACATCCTACAAAGTTCTTGCACAAACAGATAATTTTGGTAATGAATACGTCAATGAGAATGCAATGAGCGATGTTCTCAAAGTACGTATATTATACATATTAAACAAATACTCGTTAACTTAATCACTCTGTAGTCAAAACACGCTTTCTTATAAACAAATACATACACTGGCTTTGGGTGGGTTCTGCTTAAACACAATGAAACATAAAATGCGTTTTTTGATAGTAGAAGTGTCACTTCTATCTACCTGCCATACGAAGATCAATCTTAAAAGGTTTGAGATCAACTAAAATACCTAGAAATGGTGAAGGCTACTCACAGCCTCACAACAAAGTTATTTTAAACGCTGGCTAGGGTGTATAAATTAATTCGAGTAAGCCACGAAATTGTAGAAAATTCCGTGCTTACGCTCAATAAAATTGCTAAAATATAAAAAAAAAACACATACACAAACTACCTAATTTAACAGTAACTAATCAATTCGATGTTGTTTCAGGATCAACTGAACGTTTCACTTATAAATGTTCCCATGGAGATTGAATTGCAAAACGAGCATATGGGCACTATTAAAACAAAAACAACATTCACAGAAGATTCTGTCAAACCAAAAATAGGTCAGAAAGAAGAAAATAAGAAGACAAAAAATCCGAACAAAAATGACTCAAAGGTGAAAGAAAATCAGAAAAAAATACTCTTCAACGAATCCTCAAAAAAAGTATTGAATAATCTTGATAAGAAAAATTTGAAAAGGAAAAGTACTGATCAGCGTGACCAAGGTTTGATCAAAAAATTGAAAGATGCAGAATCTGTGATTAAAGATTTAAAAACAACTATTAAAGAAAAAGACGATGAAATAAAAGTATTGAGGCTACGGAATGGTGGCCTGCAGGACCAAATATTAGATAAAATGGAAGAATATGGTAAGATTTATTAGTGTACATCTCTTGAAACATATTCAATTTTGAAGGTGAAACAATGTTAAGGGGATTTGATACATAGAACTATGTCATGCAAAACGAGCGATCATTTTCGCGCTTTCTCTCTTTAGCATCTCTTAGTAATTTTTGTTGTACGTACGTTCACAAATGCAATGTTTTAGTTACATTATTAGTAAGAATTAAATTTTCAAAAGAAATAATCGTGGGATTGTTAGTATGACCGTGTATTTGAAAATATCTGATTTATTTTTCATATTAATTATTTGTTTGCAGCTGCTAGACAAATTAATCCATATTGTTCTAGAATAAAAGGAGATTTGCCAATCGGAAGAATCAATTTTGAGACTAACAAGGTAATAAATTTATGTTCTGATAAGGTATCATTCATTCATAAGAAACTAAAGCAAATGCATATACATCAACAACAAAAATTTGCATGTTATTAGTAAACAACTATAAAGATTTAAAAAAAATTTCGATTTTTGGCATACAATATACAATTATTCATAAAAATATTAGTTGTGTACAAATATCATGAACATTTTCAATGTGATCGTATGTATACTTGCACAAATTACATCTTATATGATACCTTACCTAATATTTTTATATTAAAATTAAAACAGTATTTTTAATTTGTAAACAGATATATTGCGGCAATAATTTTTGGCTTGATGCACCGGTTTATTTCGAAGCCGTAACCGTTGCTGCAAGTGGTCTTGAAAAAACACGATTCAATAGATATACTGCTACGATTGCTCGTAAACTTTTCGGTACCGAAATAAAGCAATACAGCGTTACAGGAAGAGCATGCAATTCCGTTCCAGATTCGGTACCTAGACCACCCCTGGATCCCGCTAAATTGATGGCAATTCATAGTAAATAAAATCTTATATTTATTTAATATGTAATATAAAGAATTTGATATCATACATCCTTTGTGTTTTAGATATTTTTCAATTCTACTGCGAAGATGTATTAAAAAAAGATTCGGTAGAAATAACACTTCTGTTACATAAAGTCAATGGTTATATTTCGACAATGATAACTGATGCACGCAGAGATAGAGGAAAGAAACCAAAAGGACCAAAGAAAAATCCGAAAGTAAAAAAGGGTAAGAAAAATTTGAAATCGTTGGCCCCATCAGACTATGAAAGCGATGAAATCTTGAAGAGCAAAGAAGAAAGTGAAAAAGAGGAATCTGATGAGGACAAAGAAGAAAATGACGATATGCTAAATGAAGAGAGTGATATAGAAGAAGAGAAACAGGGCGGAAATGACTCAGAAAAAGAGATTCCTGATGAAAATGACTCAGAAGAAGAGATAGCTGATGAAAATGACTCAGAAGAAGAGATAGCTGATGAAAATGACTCAGAAGAAGAGATGAGTAAGACCAATGATTCAGATGAAGACGCAGATAGTGCGCAAAAAAAGGCAGACGAGGAAAGTGTTCAAAGTGAGTCAAGTGAAGACGAAGATAATTAGTAAATGTAAGATGTGCATTTTGTTTAATATTTTCGTGGAAATATTTTTGTTTTTACAAATACTTGGTACAAATACCTAGTCGTTATTTGATAGACGATCATTATAAAATATTAGTCTTTGAAACTAAATTCAACAGACAAAAGAAAAAATTACTCTTAAAAATTCTGAAGTTCTTTCACTTGATTAGAAATTTAATAGATAAATTAAATATATTAGATGTCCGTTTTTGTTGAATATTTTTTTTATAAAATATTTTATTTTTTAAAATAACTAATGACTACAAGGTATCGTCATTTGATCGGCGATTTCCATAAAATACCAGTCTTTGAAATTTAATATAATAATAAATTAAAATAAAAAATTACTTGAAAAAAATTCTGAACTTTCAGAATAAATTAAAATATATGTTTGTTATAGATGTAATATTTTGTTTTAGCAATATTTTTAAATACTTAATAGATAAGTTATTAAAATATTTAATATATTTTAATTTAATAATAAGTTAACAGTTGACTGTAAGGTATCGTCATTTGATCGACGATTTCCATAAAATACTAGTCTGTGAAATTAATATGCTAGAAATTAAGAAAAAAAATTACTCAAAACAATTCTGTTCTTTCAGAATAAATGAAAATTCAGTCCGTTTGTTAAAGATGCCAGATGTGCATTTTTAGCAAAATTTTGAAATATTTAGTATATAAGTTATAGATGCAAGATGAGCGTTTTTCGCTAAATATTTTTAAAAAAAATATTTTGTTTCATTGAAATAATTTTCAACCATCTAGGTATCATTGTTTAATCGACGATTGCCATAAAATACTAGTTCGAAACTACATTTCCTGGAAATCATTGATGGGAAATTACTTACAGAAATCTTTTTAGTTCATTCAGAATAAATGAAAATTAGTATGTAAGTTAATGACGTAATACACGCTTCTTTGTTAAATATTTTATATATGTTATTTTGTTTCATTGTAATATATATCGACTGCAAGGTATTGTTATTTGATCGACGATTGCCTTTAAATAATAGTCTGGAAAACTTATTTTGTTACGAACCAGAGAAGACTAATCATTATTAAAAATTCTGTGGTTCTTATAAATAAAAATTCGCAATAATAATATATGATTATTTATATATTACCTTTAACTATTTGTAGTATTTACTATAAGTTGGATGACTCGTGTAACAAAAGTATTTATCAATTTGGTAAAAAATTAAAACAACTTGATTAAATATGCAGTTTTTATGTTTTAGCAAAGCGTCGACTTTGCTAAATTGTTGTACTGATTTTTGACGGTTTAAATGTACGAAATCAATTTTTTGAGTTTTAACGCAAGACTAACTATAACTCTTTTGAAACCAGTAAAGATCGACTTCAAAACTCATGAATTTAATTGATAAATTCGACACCGTTACAAAACACTTCAAATTTGTTGGACGTGGATCAATATTTCCTTACCGCATAAAAACCTATTCATTCTGGGTTCCTGAAAACTTCGCCAATAAAAACCAGTATCTTCGAAATGAGACTTGGCTGATCGGGAGAGAAACCAGTAAAAATTAATCACTTAACTGGACTTATATAGGCTTTCGATTCAGCCACATGAATATTTTTTCTGCTGGTATCAAGTCGGAATTGCAGGTGCAGATACCGACTTAAAACGAGTTAACCTTTTTTTTTATTGGTTTCATCTGGTTGCAATCAACAGGGTGGAGCTGCTGCGTAAAAGAGATAAATTGAAAATGAACGCTATTTGCGCGCTTCAACCTTGAGAGGATTGGCTTATAAATGTAAACATTGGTTTGAAGTGTCGGACCTCTACTAGTTGAATGCCCTCTGTTCTATATGATTCTGCCCTATACATAATAAATCTATCATATAATTATGATTCATTTTTTGTCTTTGCTTCAAGTACATTTGCTTAATGCCAAGATAAGCATGGTATTGTTTAGTTATGCGATGCAGCCCCTTTTATACCAAGGAGAAAAAAACATATTACAGTAAAAAATATCCCCCAAAAAATATTCAAGTTTGTAGCCTCAATTCCGAAATGTTCATACAAGATGAAATTTTTATTTTTCACAGTGACTTCGTGAAAATATTAAATAATGGTGCTCTTAATTAATAATCGGCTTTTCAAAACATAAAAACGAGCTTATAACTTCATATTTATTTTCAGCTCTTTCTTGAGATCGGCCCATATACATAACTATAGCACAGACCAAAACAGCTGGACTCGGAGGGGTGATGTGAGCAACCGTCGCGCGCTTTAAAACTTGTACAAACTTGCTCAGCGTCAGTTAGAATCAGACGCGGATCTGGGATGTTGCAAAGTATTTGCTCCCTGTTTACTTATTTTTTTACAAGTGTTTGACACTTGAAAATATTAGAAATATTTAAGTGAACAGTTTTAAAATTACTCGGTAATTAGTTGAAATAAGACATCATGGATCAATTGTACAAATATAATGGTATTACGTTGCGGCGTATGAACAGAGTGCAATTTAAAGAGCATTACTTTCAAAGAAAGCAAAAACGAAGCCAAGCCTTCGATGATCAGAGATTTTTGATGGCATGCGATGATAGCTTCAATGAAGGTAAGGTTTTATTAAAGTTGATTGTCGTAATAATTTCACGATTCATAATTTCACGTATTTATTTCGAATTTACACCTTTATTTGTCGACCTAGCACAGAAACGTAACATTTTTGCCTCTAAATATGAAAATATACGTTTCTGCGCTTGGCCGGCGATCTTAAATTTTTATTGATTATTTTTGTTTGAAAAATTGTATCTTATTCTTAACAGAACAACCTGAAAATGCTGAAAAAAAGTTACACTCGAACATCAAGTGCCGAGGAAAAACAAGAATCCCCGTGAGATGTGTTTTTAAAACGTGCGATGGGGCACGAAGGATACTCACGTGTGTAACAGAAGAAAAGCCAAAGCCATTTGTTGTCGGAAAGGTTCGACATAAAATTCATTCCCCGCCATTTTTACATAATCCATTGAAAACTTCAGAAGCTCAAACTCCATATTTACCTATGACTTATCAGGTACATTAATTTTTTTAATAAATAGACGATATGTATGTAACAATTCATAATATCAAGTGTTTTTTTGTTTTTGTCTTATAGTCTGTTATTCCGGAAAATTATAAATTCACCGCTCCAAAAGGTCTAGCACATTTCAAATATACAACTCCAAAGACATCCGAAAATTCGCCATTTACTTTAAAATCTTTATTATTACCTAGAATTAAACGATTTACTAATTCTCCACTGGAACAAGGTAATGAAAAAAAAATATCTACATTAAATATATGTATTTATTTTTTGATCGAAAATGTAATATTTTAGAACATACTGAGCGAAGTTTACATAAAGTTAAAAGAGAGTTATGGACTGACGAAGAACCACCAATTTTCGGAAGAACTAATGTTGCTAAAGCCCTTGAGAAAGAGTACAATAAAGGTATGCCTGGTTTAAGTTTATGAATTAAAAAATGTTACTTACATATTTTGTACCAGTTACATACATTTGATTTTATAGATTTGGATAGTCAAGATGGGGTAGCTATAGTACCATCAACTTCAAATTCCGTTCAAAAAGTGTGCACCAATTCAAAAATCGACTCAGAAAAAATTGAGATATCGGTCAGTTTGAGTTTCGAAGTCGAAAAGGTAAAAATTTTCATTAATTTTAAAATAAAAATTGTCAATAAACTAAGTGTTAAAATTATTTTTTGCTACAGGATGAAAGCTTCGTCGATAGAGCAAATATTTCTTCGAACGACGTTCGGAAAACTAAAAAAGCTACACAATATTCATCACAAATGGATGAACTTCAAACTTCATTAAAGTACCTTGATGCAGACGCCGATAGGGAAGCAGAGAAAGAAAATGGAGTTGAGGCTATTGAAAAAAGTATTAATCGTCTTAATGAATTGAAAAGCAGCAAACAAATTTCAGAAAGTTGTGTGCCTACAAGATACCAATCGCATATCCCTGTTAAACATCATGTGAGTAAACATAATTTTACTTCTTCATCTAGTTAAATCGATCGAGATAAAATAAACGTTCTTATTACAGGGTTCGATTTCGATGCATGAAGGTATCACCAAAATCCAAAAAATTTCATCAAGCTCAACTGAGAATACCAAAAAAGATACTTCACATCCATCACAACTAAACCAAAGCCTAAATCACGCATCATCTAAGAACTACGAAAGAGAGACCGATAGTGATGAGGAAATCGAAAATGAAGCTAAGACAGTCGAACAAAGCGACTATCTGTTATATGAATTGAAAACCGTTAAGCCCACTTCTGAAAGATCGGAGCCTTTAAAAGTACAACCAAATACCAAAGTTAGTCACAAAGTAAGCAGACAACATTTCATTTTGACTAAAATTTTCGTTCGCACTGAAACTAATTTTATTTGTTCAGGGTTCCCCGTTGATGCAGAAAACCGTTTCCGAAAGCCCGAAGCGTTTATTAAACAAATCTTTGAAAATCAAAATAGCTACTCCACATCCATCGCAACTGAATAAAAGCTCTGCTCACTTGTCATCTAAGAATTTCGAAAGAGAGACCGATAGTAATGAGGAGATCGAAAATCAAGCTAAGACAGTCCAACATAGCGACTGCAGACATCATGTGAGTAAACAAAATTTGACTACTTTATCTAGTTAAGTCGATGGGGATGAAATTAACGTTCTTATTTCAGGGTTCGATTTCGATCCATGAAGGTATCACCAAAATCCAAAAAATGTCATCAAGCTCAACTGTGAATTCCAAAAAAGATACTTCACATCCATCACAACTAAACCAAAGCCTAAATCACGCGTCATCTAAGAACTTCGAAAGAGAGACCGATAGTGATGAAGAGATCGAAAATCAAGCTAAGACAGTCGAACAAAACGAGAATATGTTAGATGAATTGAAAACTGATGAACCTACTTCCGAAAGTTCGGAGTCTTTAAAACTACAATCGAATACAAATGTTTGTGACAAAGTAAGCAGACATCATCTCATTTCCATCGAAACCAAAAAAGACAGTCCACATCCATCGCAACTGAATAAAAGTTCTGCTCACGCATCATCAAAGATCTTCGAAAGAGAGACCGATAGTGATGAGGAGATCGAAAATCAAGCTAAGACAGTCGAACAAAGCGACTATCTGTTAGATGAATTGGAAACCGATAAATCCATATCTGTAAGTTCGGTGCCTACAAAAGAACAATCAAATACCAAAGTTAGTCACAAAGTAAGCAGACATCATCTCATTTTAACTAGTAATTGTTCCCATTTAAAATAATTACAAATTTTCAGGGTTCCCTATCGTTGCATGAAGGTTTTGCCAAAATCCAAAAAATTTCATCAAGCTCCACTCTGAAAACCAAAAAAGACACTCCACATTCATCGGAGCTGAATGAAAGCTCTGCTCACTTGTCATCTAAGAATTTCGAAAGAGAGACCGATAGTTATGAGGAGATCGAAAATCAAGCTAAGACAGTCGAACAAAGCGAATATATGTTAGATGAATTGAAAACTGATGAACCTACTCCCGAAAGTTCGGAGCCTTTAAAACAACAATCAAATACTAATGTTTGTGACAAAGTAAGCAGACATCATCTCATTTCCATCGAAACCAAAAAAGACAGTTCACATCCATCGCAACTGAATAAAAACTCTGCTCACGTTTCATCTAAGAATTTCGAAAGAGAGACCGATAGTAATGAGGAGATCGAAAATCAAGTTGAGACAGACGAACAAAGCGACTATCTGTTAGATGAATTGAAAACCGTTAAACCTACTTCTGAAAGATCGGAGCCTTCAAAACTACAACCAAATACCAAAGTTAGTCACAAAGTAAGCAGACAACATTTCATTTTAACTAAAATTTTCGTTCGCATTAAAACTAATTTTATTTTTTCAGGGTTCCCCGTTCATGCAGAAAATCGTCTCCGAAAGCCCGAAGCGTTTATTAAACAAATCTTTGAAAATCAAAATAGCTACTCCACATCCATCGCAACTGAATAAAAGCTCTGCTCACTTGTCATCTAAGAATTTCGAAAAAGAGACCGATAGTAATGAGGAGATCGAAAGTCATGCTGAGACAGTCGAACATTGCGACTTTCCGTTAGATGCATCGAAAACCGATAAATCTATATCTAAAAATACGGTACCTACAAAAGAACAACCAAATACCAAAGTTAGTCACAATGTAAGCAGACAACATTTCATTTTAACTAAAATTTTCGTTCGCATTGAAACTAATTTTATTTGTTCAGGGTTCCCCGTTGATGCAGAAAACCGTCTCCGAAAGCCCTAAGCGTTTGTTGAACAAATCTTTGAAAATCAAAATAGCTACTCCACATCCATCGCAACTGAATAAAAGCTCTGCTCACGTGTCATCTGAGAATTTCGAAAGAGAGTCGGACAGTGATGAGGAGATCGAAAATCAAGCTAAGACAGTCCAACATAGCGACTGTAGACATCATGTGAGTAAACAAAATTTGATTACTTTATCTAGTTAAGTCGATGGGGATGAAATTAACGTTCTTATTGCAGGTTTCAATTTCGATGCACGAAGGTGACACAAAAATCCAAACCACTTCAAGGAACTCCGTTCTGGAAACCAAAACAGATTCACCACGTCCATCTCAACTCAATAACAGCCTAATTTCTTACATTAAATCTAAGATTTGGGGATTAGTTACCGATAGTGAAGCAGAAATCGAAAATCAAATCGAAGATCGTGTCGAGCAAAGCGTCATGAATGAATCAACAACTGGTAAACTTATTGCTGAAAGTTTGGTTCCTTCAAATAAACAATCTAATACCAAAGTTAGCCACGATGTAAGTAAACACCATTTTACCGTCATCTTGTAAAGTCGATCGTGTTGAAAATAATTTTTTTTGTTTCAGGGATCAATTTCGACTTTAGGACGCATCCCAACTGACATACGTTTAAGTCACTCTCAAAGAACGAAAGATGATTCTATACATCCACTGAGACTAAACAAAAGCTTAGGTGATCCGTCGTCCAAAAATTCCGAAAAATTTCAAGTTAGACAAGCGGAAGTTAAAAATCATGTTTTTACCGATGAACATTGTGTCCCTTCATCGAACGTATTAACAACGAACAAAGCCACTATAGAAAATTTGATTCTATCAAATAAAGAATCAAATACTAATATTTGCAACAAGGTAAGTAATCGTACTTCTTCTAATATCTAGTGACGTCGATCGGGTAAAAATTTATCTTTAATTCCAGCCCTTAGTTTCGATGTCTGAAGGCATCCCCATAATCCGAAATACTTCAGAATGTATGATGCATTCAAATAAACAATTGAATCATAAAATTACTGGCCAGGTAAGCTTACTGTTTTTTCATTATCTAGAATTTTCATCCCAATGTAAATCATTTTTCAATGTTTAGGATCCAATTACGTTTTCTGAAGGCGTTTCCACCTTTCCAAAAATTATCATCGAATGTACTCGTTCCCCTGAGCGAATTGCAAAAAAAATAGAAAAATTATGCGATGGTTTAGATGAATGCCCAATTACTGTATTGAAAAAACCTTCAGAGAAAATCATGAAGACAGAAGTGATAGACCTGGTTTCAGATGAAGAGGTTTGTTCAGACCAAAAGTATTTTTTTTTTTTTTTGATGTTTTAAAAATGAAATAATCTTATCTCCAGGAAGAAGATTCGTACAAAACTTTTATTCAAAGGGTATTAAATAACTGCGCGAAACATCAACGATTATCAAATGCTTGTGCAACTTCTCCACTTTTAAATTCGGTGAATATCTCAACTCATCATTATTAATTTTTTTGTAAATTTCTTTTTGTGTATATCATATATATAATACCTCAATTGTTTCATACATAATAGAAAACCAACATTAGTCCGGTCGAAACTCCAAAAGTTGTTAGGCGAAAAAAAAGGGAAGCATCTGCAAACTCTTCACTGGTGGCATCTCATCTTACTGCAGTAAGAGTTGTTTTAATAAATAATTTTTTCTCTATTGAAACACACACATAATACGTCAATTATTTTATACATAATAGAAAACCAACGTTAGTCCGGTCGAAACTCCAAAAGTTGGTAGAAGAGAGAAAAAGGAAGCATCTGCAAACTTTTCATCATCAGCTTTACCTCACACTCCAGTAAGAGTTGTTTTAAAAAAACATTGTTTTTTATTATGGCACGCATATAATATTTCAATTATTTTATACATAATAGAAAATTAACATTAGTCCGGCCAAAACTCCAAAAGTTGGTAGAAGAAAAAAAAAAGAAGCATCAGAAAACTCTTCACTGAGGCCATCCCTTGTCACTCCAGTAAGAGTTATTTTAATAAATAATTGTTTCTTTATTATGTTACACGTATAAAACTTTTATTATTTTACACATAATAGCAAACCAACATTAGTCCGGTAAAAACTCCAAAAGTTGGTAGAAGAAAAAAAAAAGAAGCATCAGAAAACTCTTCACTGGGGCCATTCCTTCTCACTCCAGTAAGAGTTATTTTAATAAATAATTGTTTCTATATTATGTTACACGTATAAAACTTTTATTATTTTCTGCATAATAGCAAACCAACATTAGTCCAGTCAAAACTCCAAAAGTTGTTGGAAGAAAAAAAAAAGAAGCATCAGAAAACTCTTCACTGGGGACATCCCTTCTCATTCCAGTAAGAGTTATTTTAATAAATAATTGTTTCTTTATTATGTTACACGTATAAAACTTTTATTATTTTATGCATAATAGCAAACCAACATTAGTCCAGTCAAAACTCCAAAAGTTGTTGGAAGAAAAAAAAAAGAAGCATCAGAAAACTCTTCACTGGGGCCATCCCTTCTCACTCCAGTAAGAGTTGTTTTAATAAATAATTGTTTCTTTATTATGTTACACACATAATATTACACACATAATAATTATTTTATGTTTAATAGGAAATCAACATTAGTCCGGCCAAAACTCCAAAAGTTGTTGGAAGAAAAAAAAAAGAAGCATTAGCAAACTCTTCACCGGGACCATCCCTTCTCACTCCAGTAAGAGTTCTAAATCTGCGCAGTCGAAATGTAGAGGTTTCTCCATCTCCTAGCAAGTCAACACCAAGGGTAATCAATAACTATATAACTAATATTCTATAAAATACAAGTTGAACATTTTTTTAAATTGATGTTTAATATTGAGTTTTATTGTTCTAAATTACAGAGACGAAGAAAAAAGGATGAAGTTAGAGTTTAAATCAAGAACAAAGAATTGAACTAATATGTTTCGCAGCTTAAGAGATTAAATATTGTAATGTATATATGTTTATTTAAATTTTTTAAATTTGATTATGTATATAATATCTATTTATTTGTATTAACTTGTAGAATTTGTTGAAAAGTATTTGTATTAAAAGTTCGAAAAGCGTCGAGTGAAAAAGTATTTTTGTTTTAAAATATACATTTGTATAGATACAGTAAGATTCAGAATACAATTACTACTTAAAATTTTTTATTAAGTCGTAGACTATTGAATGAATTTTTTTGTTATAACATTTTTTGGATTATTTCCTTAAAATTTGTTATTAGTAGTACATTTTACCAAGATTTATCAAATAAATGATCGAACAAAATTTTTCTTGACCATTATTAATCACAAAACTCTTTAGTGGACGGTTAGTATGAAAAATAAAAACACATGTATTCAACAAATTTATATTAAATACTAAAAACTCAAAAGACTTTGATCGTATTCGTCGATCTGCTTATCAATCCAATCGACGAACGTGAATATTCGTGTGTAAACATCCGGTGCACCTCGGGCACAAGGCATGCCAAACGATACGATGCCAATTTGTACACCATCGGCTACTAGCGGACCACCGGAATCACCCTGCGTGTAATAATGTCATTTTTATAATCCCTAACGGAGCTATCATAAATGGTTATAGATTTGACTGATTATGCCAATAAAACTTACGTGGCAGGCACCTTCGCCGGATTTTGTAAGGGTGCAAATGTGAGATTCGGTTATCCGGACAGCTGACATTTTTCGGGCACAGTCCTCTTGATCGATTACTTTAAGCTCGATTTCTTGTAAGTTGTTTGGTACTTGGCCATTGAGCTAATTGCAAGTGCACATTAAATAAGACTTCATTCTCTTTGATAATAATAATCGTTAAAAGTATACAATTGAAGCTTTACCTTTATTCGTCCCCATCCCGTGAGTACCACCGGATAATTAATCTTGACAAAGTCTTCTCGAGGCAAAGAAATCGGCTGAATCTTTTCGCCGAATTCAATGGTCTTGTCGACGCGAATCAAAGCGACATCGTTGACCAATCGAAACATGTCGAATTTTTTATGCCAAACTATGTATTCGGACTTGTAGACAATCTCGTTGACACCATTGAGTAGATTCGTTCCCGCTACGACTGTGACGCTCGCACCAGACCGTCTGTTATTTGAAAATCATTTTTTACAATCAAATATTTTTGGGACTTTGGAGAGGTGTAAATTTAACGCTATTATTAGCTTACCCAACTACACAATGAGCCGCAGTCAAGATCCATCGGTCATTTAAAATTGAGCCACCGCAAAAGTGCGACGGGCTTCGTAGAGATACTTGATACGGATATTTACCGTCTGGTGCATCGCTGCCACCCACTACCCTCGATGGTGCGGCTATAGAGTCACAATAACAATTTTTTAAAGATTTTAAATGAGCACAAACAAATTTTATGGAAATGATGAATATTTTTACCATAGACAATGGCCAAACAATGAAACAGAAATACCAGGATAATATTCATTTTTTAACACAAACTATTTTGACGATTGTCGCACTCACAAACAGTAAACGTTACGAGCCGAGGAAAAAATAACGTTGATGCCGTCGACAAGAGGATTCGTTACATTTATATGTGCTATTAATTACGCAGTATTAAAAATATTTTCATTTGCATGCGCTTGTCCGATAAGAGGAGAAATATGCCGTTTCCCGCTAATCTCTTCGATATTGTGAAAATACGTGAGAAAAAGGTTCGATTGACGTCTCGAGTATCGATAAATACCAACGATTTGATTGATGGAGATTTGCACAGGACTGCATAGTGGCATTGCTGTAATAAATAATGACGGAGAAACGATGCTAGATACATACAATATTTTCGATGATCTTCAAAAAACCTTAGGCAAAAATCGATCGTCTGTCATACGATCCACGTGATTAGATATTTTTGGATAGAAACGAAGGACACCACATAGTGTTTATAGATTAATCTGTACTGTATCTGTACTGATAAATGTACTGAAGCAAGTTCGATTAAACGAAGAATCCTAATGATTATCGATCGACGTGATGATTCACATCATCACATATTTGATATCGATGTTAAGTCGTGATTTTACTTGTCAACGATTTCCTCATGTTAATTAGAAATTACATCAACTTATTGCGCACCGGTGCACGCCAGCGTATCCGGAACACAATCAAAGTGATTGTGGCGATTTTTTCGAAGATATTGCCGCGATATGAGAAATTTATAATAAAGTGACAAGACGAGTTGGTAGAAATGCAAAAATGTCAGTTTACTCGCAATACGCACACAGATCTTTGAAGGAACGAAACCTCGTGTATTTAAACAGTATTGATCGAGCTCAAAGACTTTTTTCCCTTGTAAACATGTCAAACGAATGAAGAAGGCAATTATTGGCATTATTGACATCAATTGACGTCACCTAGCTGCAATAAGCCACACGCATGCATTTTGCGAGAGAAGATGCGCGTTGAAGTTACGAAAGAGTCGAGTGTGCAATTTCCATTGGGTATATTGGTCATAGAAATTAGCGCGTCTGCGCCCCTAAATGAAGTAAGACCACTTCCTTGGTCGCGAGTGCGCATCGTAAAGGCTGTGGCCAAAAGATATTATAAAATACTTTGTCACCTTTACTCTCTCTTTTTGCTGCTTGTTGTAGGATTGGCGCGTGCTTATGCGTCAGTTTAGCCAGAAGAGAAAATGAAGAGTGCGTGCTTGGCTTTATCGTGCACTCAGGCGTACTTGGCAGCGACTCGAGTGCCTTTTCCCACAGCTCGTCCTCGCGGCTGCCGAGACGCCTCGTGTACATAGCTACGCATCGTCCTATGCCGCTTGCTTGCTTGCGTTTAATTTCAGCAACGGCAGCAACAATTTAGCGCCAACACATAGTAAACATGACACGCTCTGCGGTGAGCCTATTCAAATTGTCTAATGCGATTCGCGCTTTCTTCGGCCACGAGTGCGCAATTCATACCTCTTTGGGAGGGGAAAAACAGGCAGAAACGACTGATTTGAGCGATGACGAGCTGTCCAAGTTCGACTTTACGACGCGCAACTATAATTGCGATCCAGCTCGACTATGGTCTTGATCGAGATTATTTGTCCGAATCGTGGATTATTGCCGAGAGTTCAAAGTATGGATCGACGCGTAAGATTTGCGCTTCGCCTTCGACTCGATCCGACGATTACCGATTACATCGTCGGCTCGATTCGAGTGCAGTACTGCGAGGCGCGATTATGACGATTGTTGCGCAAGAATATAACCGACGCGATCGCCGCATGGAAAGATTTTTATTTGCCGTTGGGCTCAAAGCACTGCATCGTATTAACTTAGCCCAGGACGCATATATAGGTACTTGTAATTTGGTTTGCACGGGAAAGTAATTTCTTCGCGGGAAAACTGTCTATTCGATTATAATACAATTTTGCGCGTCGAGTAATGAAGTCTGATTCGGTTACGTTTATTCGCTTACGCTATGAAAAAGTCTCGAAACGGTGATAAGCTTGGGAAATTCATTCTTAAAACAAAAATCTTGCCAAGAATACGCAATTCTATTACTAATTTTAGACTTTTGAAAAGAAGAACAAGTATTTGCGACTGATTTAAATGCGCTTTTCCTCAAAACTAGTTACATTTGCCCTTGTCCCGTATCCTAGATTTCCTCATTAATTTCAAAATTTATTTTCAAAAGAAATTTAGTTGATAAAGTCTTTCATCTCATCAATTCGGCTCATGATACCTGCGCCTCCGGGATAAAATTTTCATTGCACTTGGGCAGCAACAACAATTACAAACGTCGTTGACGGGGGCTGTTGAATTGCTTCATCAAACTGCTCGAGCGAAAATTATAAATTTTAATTGTAACGTTGAAAAATATAAGCAACGATCGTGAATCATTAGCGAGCCTTGAGATTGATAATTGAACGTTCGTTCGAAGGTATTTTCAGATTAGCTGCGGCTCTCGTTGCAGATAGATTTTGTCGTCACAAGATGCGTTCACGCCGATACAGAGACGCATTATATACATGTTATATTTCGTGGCAGAGGCATAACTCGAGGCCTAGGGGCGTGAAAGCCTCATTTGAATATGCAAATCAAATTAATTAAGCGAAAAGTTTTCCGCGCGGAATTTCGTGGACAGGCGCACTCGGGATCGTAGCGATCGCGCACTTACCGCGGCTCCACGCCAAAAACTGCAATAATGAATATTAATATTCAAGAGCGCTATGGAAGAAGAAATTTTCTTTTCCATATCGCATGTGTGTGTATATAATAATATTGTATATAGGCGTCGTACGACTGCATTTATCATTAGCGCGTATTATCGGCTGCTCAATTTTAATGGACACGGCGCGTCCCCATCTTTAATAGAGAGCAAATACTCGTGCACTTTCGTTGAAAGAATAATTTCACTCGGTTTCTTTCATCGAGCAGCGGCAGCTTCAACGTTCAATTATTAATGGGACTTGTGTGCTTGGTATTGACAATGTGTCTCGCTTTTTTTTTCGCGCGCGCGCGACTACTTCGAAAGTCATAAAATATATTTCTAGTCGATGACCCGCTCCATGCCGTATACACACACACACACACACACACACACACCGCGTGTCTCTGCGTCTGTGCGCAAGTATGTGCAAGCAAGTATGTAACTTTGAAATTAACATTCTTGGAAAGTTGCTGAATAGCAAAACTTCATAATTTCTCTCTCGTTTCTTTGTATACATTGTACTGCGCACGCACAATGTGCTAATGTTATTCGTTGAACGAGTCTCGAACGTGCTGCACAGGCTTTATCGCGTTCTGGATGGGTTTCCTCTCATTTTCGACGAGATGCATGAAATCAAATCGAAGCACGATGAATCTTGGAAAATCTGAATCGACTCGCACTGCTCGCGGCTACTTCACTTTTGTGAATGTAACGAATCACAAGTGCTGGGCACCCATCAGCTGGCGAATGAAAAAAACCCGCACGCCACTTTGATCGGCTCGAACAATTTTGTATAAAATATATACAGATAGGAGAAAAAATAAATGAAGTCTAATAAGAAACCGAGCATATTATGGCCTGTTCAGTTCAAATCGCGTTCATCGATTAAAATTCAATGAGCAAAAAAAAGTATTTGTATTATGCTAATACGGAGTTATAATCGCATCGGCCGATGACTTTCTCTATTTCTCTCTTTCGAGCCGCAGACGCGAAAACTATGCTACATGCACACATGCATGCACGTGAATGAGCGAATTGAGAATCTGATTTATATCCATCGGTATCTCTGCAGCGGGGGGGCCCTGGGATTATTATGATATTCCTGCATTCGCCGCGAAAGACAACGTGTTTGAGGCGTTTCCCAATAATTTTCCCTCGGAGCAATCAGTGGTGCGTTATGTATATTGGCAATAACGAGCCGCGTGTGCGCGTCTGCAATTCCAGTATGTGTATATACGCACGCAGCTCTATACCGGCCGGATTTTTTCCCCTCGAAAGTATGCCGAACGGTTGAAAGTTGAAATATCGCGGGTGTGCACTTATCATTACGCCCGGGCCCATCGGCGTTAACGTCTTTTTTGCCGCTTTATTCAACAATTTTATATTTAATTAAGCTCTAGCCATAAAGTTGATGCTCGCTCGGGCGCATTTCTTGCCGCGTCGGCTACAATACAAGCTTCGCTCTCGTAATTGCTATCTGCTACTTTCCGTCCGAATAACACGAAAAACACATATAAATTCCGCCTTATACAGCATTATCAATTAAATCCTAATTGTCGACGTGAGTAATTCGAAGGAGGGATAGGAAAACAAAGTTCGTACTCGAGCGAGTGCGTAATGGCGGATTAGCGAGTTGCGTCGTCGAAGCGTTTTGAGCGTTTAATGTGTAATGTACAAGCGCGTCGAAGAAAGTGTGCATGCAATGGCAGATGAGTCTCGATCGCATCTTAAAGCAGCAACAGCAGCGGAGAGTATTTAGAAAAACAAAAGTAAAATAAAGGAGAAAACGCGGGCGAGAAAAGTCGCGAGCGATGAGAGAGTCACGATTGCTCGCGTGCTGAGCTGCTGCTGTTGCTCCAGCAGATTCTCGCTTAACACGGAGAAACTGTGTGCTTTGCACGTCCATGTGTGAATTGAGAGACGGGCTCGTGCGCCGCTGCATCGACTTTGTGTCGAGAATCGAATCGTTAGCCACTTTATTCGTACACTTTGTTTACCGAAATTGCTGCGCGCTACATACGAGTCGATTCAGCCACGATACACTGCTACACGTGGAAACCGATTCATCGATCGGCACGATCATCTTCCACATTTTCCCCCGGGAAGGACGACGCGCGCCAACGTGTATACAAAAAATTTGACCGAGTGGACGCGATGACACTCTTATCTCTCCTCGGCATCTATATTTTAATAGCCGCGGCGGATGTACAGGAAGCGAGAAAAAAAGGAACTTACGTAGCTAGCCGTAATCGCGGCGCCGTACGAATCACGATCGAGAAAAACATTTGGTCCTCCTTGCGGTTCTCTTATGGGCGCGCTTACAATCGAATCCAGCCATTGTATTTTAATACAGCCTCGACTTTCGCAAGCATTACATAGTGTATGACCGAGCGCCGCCTATATATAATATTCTCGCATTGTGAGCAGCTTTTATATAGGCGCGAGACATTACGTACGTACGTGCGCCGAAAAATACGTTCCTCATCCTTTTTATTTGTATTAATTAATCATCTTTACATTACGAGTTTCCGGTGAGATTCTCGCGATCGCGCGTGCATTACTTTTGTACTATACGTATGTGCGCGCGTATGTGGTTTATCGCGATGATTATGAATAACACACTCGCGCCAAAGCGAGCCACATATCAAAGGAGAGAAAAGACAAAGTCACGACTGTGCGAGTACTTCGGAGCGACCGGCATCGAGCGGCTTTGAACTTTCGCGCGACGAATGACGGACTACACGCCCATCGCGCTAATAATCCTCGGATCTCTCTGTACTCTCTGTGCGTTCAATACGGCATATATTACACGCTCGTGACGATGCAGCGATTTACGACGAGCCCCAGCCGTCGTCCTTTAATCGAGATTAAATTATTTCGGGGCTTCTTTTATGCGCTACCTGCACGATACGCAATATTATACAGCTCGAGAGGCTGAGCCACATTTTCCATCAGGGCATGGCCGACGAGCTACCGCAATAATTATAATGAGCCGATGACTTTCAAGCTCGACTGATGGGAAAATTATCGAAAATGTACACTCCCTATTACTTTTCTCTTTCTTCGTCATCGCGAAATCTATACATTATGCGATTCGCTGAGATTGCGCAAGTAGAAAATATAACATGGGTTTTAACGAATCGGTACGCGAACGAGTCCAATGTTAAAATACAACGATCGCATAAAAGAGAATGCGACTGATTTACAATGCAGCATCGCGTAAAAGCGTCTCGTAATTCACCCCAATGGCTCGTAAAAAGGAGCAAAGCTCGACAATTGGACGGACGTGCGTTCCCCAATTGGCATCGGGCCGATTGCCACTGAATCACTCGCGATCGTAAATAAAACATTCAAGGCGCGTTTGACCGAGCTTCATAAATATGGCCCCCGAATCGGAGTGCGCCTCGTCCCGAATGTGCTCGCGAGTGCAAGTGCGCGGCCGCAGTTCATAATTCAGCTGCAGCTCGTTGTCCGATAAATCGTCATCAGCACAAGCAGCGCGAAAAGATATATGCAACTTTCAGCGCACCGTGACTTAACTCGAGCTCCGAATCCGTATATAATTGCCTGCAACATAAGCCGATGGGCCTGCTTCTACTTGTAACATATTGCATTGTCGAGGATTTGCGGAGAACACGTTGCAACTCGGGTCGAAATGGATCCGATCGAGCGACAGGCGAAAAATCGAATGCGTAACGCTCCTCGAGAACTAATTTGCCGCGGCTAACCTTAGAGTTGCGCGATCTTGACTCGGACGTGTCCGTTTGCAAGGACGCGTAATCGCATCGAAGCGCGTCAACATATTGTATGTTATATCGATTGTCATCGCTCGCGCAACATTACATGCGGCAGCGATCTTACGCCTCTCTCATAACGTTCGGTTAATTTGTTCACGGCGAAAAAAAAGAGGCGCTCATTGTGTCGAGCTGCAACACAATGGAAATTGGAGGGAAAAAAAATAATCGTGATATTCATGCCTTTTAAGCTGATTATTGTACTTGTCGCGCGAAATAATAATGACGGCTCGTGCGACGATTATTTACTGCGCGATCAGCCGCTTCCTGCCTGCTCGCGATCGCCACATTATAAATGTAGCAGTGCGCCGAGCTTAGCCAGTCAATACGTCGCCGACACGACGTTTCGCAATAGGTCCAAAGCTCGCTCGCCGACAACATGAGACGTTTCGCGTCTTTCCTCGCTCTTTTCGCCATGGTGGTGCGTGAATTTCTCTTCTATACTTGCCTGCTCGATAGAAGCATGCTTTTTAATTTTGTTTGCTTTCAAGGTGTTGGCTAGTGGTGACATGGAGCAGATGAAGGAGGCTTTTAAAAGCTGCAAAGCCGAAGTTGGAATAGCAGAAGGTTCCGTGAATTACTTTATTATCATTGTTACTTTTACTTTCTATTTATGCAGTACTAAGCTATCTCGTAAAAATGGCATATTAATGCGCAGACACTCAGATGAAGGACATTCCAAGCTCGAAAGTGGGTTGTCTCCACGCGTGCGTTATGAAAAAATTTGACAACGTGAGTAACGCTCGATTGCTCTTTTACAAGGGCATAGATCGGTCATCGACAAAAAATCATTTTTTCCAATTTCTGTTTCAGATGAAAGATGGAAAAGTTGTGGTGGAAAATATATTGCAGCGTGCTGAGAAGAAGATGAATCCTCTGCCGGAAGAAATGAAAGAGAAGCTCACGAAATGCGCCGATGATGGTACGATCGAGCACTTGAACGTTTTCGGTAATTCACAATACAATAAAAATAATTGCAATTTTACTCGTAGCTAACGGAAAAGGCGACGAGTGTGAGGTTGCCAGCTACATGCACGAATGCTGGTGGGACTCGATGAAGAGCATGGGACCCCCAAAAGGACCTTCTAATTAGGCGCCCGCTCCAACGTCGAAGCGTCAAGAATATTTTTCCATATCAAGCTCGAGCGTACAATAACGCGAGCGAACTCGGCAATGTATAAGCGTTGAAAAATAAAACGATATCTCAAAGGTAAAACCTCTGACAAGGAGTAAAGTTTATTGATATCGCCGAGACTTGAATTATACCCTCACCTCTACCGAGCTCAAAGGAATCCTTAATTGGTGCTTCCGCGAGGCAACTAAAGATTGATGAACTACTCGCGCGCGCTATACATCGGACGCATTTTAACGATCTCTTTGATTGCGACTGGCGCGATCGGTCGAGCTTTCACGAGTTCTCGCGGCGCGTTAAAGTCCCAAAGAAAAAAACGAAAGAAAAACGAGAAGCCAGTGAAAAATTATTTTATTAAACTTTCGGGTAATATAAGGACTCGAGGATCCGTGGATATGGCATTTAACGGTTACGTGAATACAAGCACATCCTTGCGGTACGCAGGTATGTTCCGCGATCATGTGCAGCGGGTCTATCGGTAGGCTCGATCGGTTGCTCCAAAGATGCACCTGTGCTCGAGCTCGCGAGGATCGGTTCTATACGTTGGCCGAGCCAAGACGACACTGATTAGCATAGAGATCATCTCATATTCGTTACGAAGTAGTCGCGCGGGCAACAAGCGCACGATCCGCAGCTGTGTGCCTATCGTCGTGGGTCGAGATAGAAATCAAAGCTTTGTCGCGCGCGACAAGGCCCGCAGGCATCCGGCCTTTGGCCATGAAAAGTGCAGCTAGACACGACCGACACAACGAAACGCGAATCCGAAGAAAATGTAGCGTAACGACTAGTCGCTTTATACCGAAGCTACTGCGAGTTGCACCGGCGAGAAAAGTCGATACTCGATTCCGAGTGCGACGATCCAGGTGCATGTGCAGCAGAGTACCTACGATATGTAGCATGCGGACTAGCTCGCGCGCAGCAGCGGGGAAAGTCCCGATTATTTCGCGTTAGAGCCGGCCGCTGGATACACGCGCTGCTACACGAAGTGAACGTTGCCGAGCGACATGCACGTAGCTGCGCTCTCGGCCAAAATTCAACAAAATTGACTTGTTTTTTTTCCCGTCCTTCCTCTACTCGGCTGCAGCGCGCCGGACAATGCACGTATAATGTCATAACTCGTAATGCACTGGGCATTTTTCCTGCATATCCGTTCTCGCGCGATGCCAATCGGTGCAACTCTCTATGTCGATGCATAATGTGTGTATTATGCATGCATATCGAACGCGAATCGTTCGTCGCCGTAATCGCGCGTGTTTCGGCCGTTTTTTGCTTTACTTTAAACGCGCGCCTGTTTATTTTGTAATGAAGCAACGGCCTAAGAGTAGTACATTATACGGGCATTCGGTCGACACAGCGAATATACACAAACGTGACAGGTACGCGTTCAATTAGCTGCCTGTAAAAGTCGAGCTCGCCAATATACCTCTCGTATAATACGTATTACGAGAAATTATTTCTCTGTCTCTGTGTTATTGTATACGAAGTGAGCGCGGCGAGGATCACAGCCAATTTCATACACGCTTATTTTCGTATGGACGTATAATGTGCTTTGGTCGTTGCAAAACTCGAACGAGCATTACGTACCCGCGGTCTACCGGCCGAATGCTTCTTCGGAGTCATCGCTGAATGGACCAAGAGAGATGTCACTGATACCATATACCCACTTTAAAGCGAATCAATTTGATAAATAAACACGGGCTCGCGTGGGACATGACCGATCCAGCTTTATTTGACCTCGCTTGCTCTCGGCTCCCCGAGAGACGAGCAGCTCATTTTTTTTGCTTCTTTCACTTTTTCGCTCATTTATTTATTTTATTTTTTTGTTTCTTCTATAGGCGAGCTTCGCTGCCGTAGGCAACGCGCAACTAGCCTCGTATTATGGGCGATCGCGGTACATGCGAAACCTCGAAATATGAATTTACATAATGGAATACATAATGTAGCCGTTTAATCAACGTAATATCGTCGAGTAAATTAAAGAAAAAACCTGAGGTCGGAAGAGACTGCGGATGTGTGAGTGTGTATGTACAACTTTTATATACAACGTACTATAACGCACACCGCACACATTTTCCCGCAGCGTTGTTCAACGCGTTCGGGACTCGCGAGTGTGTGTCTGGTCTCGTTTAATTATAAGAAAATAGTTACGTATTATTCTAATGCGCCCAGAAATTTTCACTCGGCGCTCTTTTACTCGAGCCTCTCAAAGTACTGCAGACACATACAATTCGTGCGCGATCGTTAAATAATTTCTTTTTACGACGATCTTGCGCCCGAAAATTCATCGGCTTGAATATTTTCAAGTATAACTCATCAGGTATATCTATTTATGCCATAAAATATATTATAATCTGTTTGGTAAAGCGAGTCGGATCGCAGGATCGAGGTTAATACGCATTATATATTATAAGCGTTTTAAAATGTTATTACAATAAGAAACTTTCGCCTAGGCGGTGCACAGGATACCTCGAGCCCGAGCGCATTATAATATCTATAGTCATAATATGCGTACATACATACATTACACGTTAGCGATACGTCGGCGAACAAATTCACATGGCGCGTATACACGAGTAAGAGCGAGCTTCCCTTCGACGTTGCGAATTTTCGCCGCTCCTATATATATAATGTATAATGTGCAACCTCACGTGCATATGCCGTATACAGCAAGAATAATAACGCGCGATATTTATGCGCAGGTACATACATTTATGTACGCACTCGAAATCAAGCCCTTAACATCTCAATTCTCGGCGGAGATTTTCAAGTATCTTCCGTGCGAGTAACAATGCACATGGATTCTCGGCTGCGCGCGGCTAGCTGCACACCCACGTACAGACCTGCGCCGAATATAACAGTTATTTCTCTCTGTCTGTCTTTCTTGGAGATATCTCGCTACAGCCGCAATGCTATATCCGCATCTCGTAGTTCTCGTACGAAATCACCGTTCACTCCTATACATTTATGAATGCATCCAACTCTCATCTCCACGATATTCCATGCTCATCGCGAATGCACGTGTGGGATCGAATATCGTGGCCGTTTCTCGCATCCATACGAATTTATATTCTGTCAAAAGTAATTTTCCCCTCTTGACTTATTTAATGGACCACGCCGTGCGCTTAATTGACGGGCTCGTTAATTTCCTCGATATTATTATGAATTTATGTCGACAATGTTTAGAAGGCGACAAGTGCGCGCATATGTGACGTACAAGTGGATTTATTGTGTAAGTACGTGTAGCCGCTCGCGTGCCTCCCATGCAGCTTACTCACGTACATATACATGCTTCCGAATAATTGACTTTTACTCGGTGAAGAGAACTCGTACACAAAGCCAAGAAAACATGGCTCGCTCGAAGACTGCAAAATTGTCGAGGATACTCGAATCAAGGATGAGAAAGCATATTACATGTAGCATTATACATTATTTCGCGACACTGACTAATGTAGCGGTGGGCAGGTTTATTCGTCGCGTGGTGCGCGCGTGCAAATAATATTATAATTCGTGCGGGTCAACGCGCGATCCATTCCTGCGAAATCTGTCCGTCGGGATCCTTATCGATTTCGAAGGCGTCAATTGATGTACACACGATATCGATTTATGGCCGATCGCCGTGTTGCGCAATTGCGACGTGTCCGATGCATTACACCGTCGTCTGCCTCTTAAACTCGAGCCGAATATTGGCTCACATCGGCGCGCGGTATACATTATATTATAATAATACGGCTTGTAAAGCAGGTGAGCATCTCGGAGCTTCTTGAATTCGAAGCGATATTCGCCGAGATTTACATATAAACACAAAGTTGTGTATATTGGCACACGTGCCTCGCGTATCAAGCAGCGATGATCCAGAATCGAACTGCGAAATCAACGCCCCGATCGACTAGCACAACACGATATTCTCGTTTTTTTACTCATCGATGCACGCTCTCGTATTATATTATATCTATACAGCGGTAATCCCAGTGAGCCGAGCATCGAGCATCTTCTCAAAAAAAAAAAAAAAATACGGGCGACCTTCGCTCGAGCTCGATCGAGTCGATATCGGAAAAAAGCTCCTTTCGCGTACGAACGCGTAAGGCCCAATCGTCGTTGGACGGATCGAAGCTCGTATCGGTGAATTAGCGACCCCACCACGCTACACGAGAGCCGACGATCCATCCAGCGACTTTGGAGCGGAGAGCGCAAACACACCCGTACACGACACGCAGATCCATACTTGGCGAGCTCGGTGCTGGCAAAAAGGATACACATATACCTACTCCTCCTTCCGAAAGTCTCTCTCCGCGAACTGGCCGCCGCCGCGCGAGTAGCAGGAGCAGGAGCCGCCGCCGCCACCGTCGCTGCTGCTGCTGCTGCTTTACTATATTCACATAGAGGCCCGCGTGTGTGCAGTTTCTGTCGAGAGCGAGAGTAAAAGCCCGATGCCTTAGCAGCACGGCTCACAGACAGCATCATGCGCTCGGTGAGTACGATACACAGCATTTATAATTGCCTATATACGCTTATCTCCTCTCGTGCGATTTTTTTCTTTGCTTCACCCGCGTTTACGATTCGAGCAGCACCCGATCTTTGCGATCTGCACCAACCCTGTACTGGCGATCCGTCGAGCCGATCGCAGCTTTGTATGACTTGGGTGTATCGTCGAGCCACGCGTTACAAAGCTCTAGTCTATTAAAAGCTTTTCTTTGGTTATGGGATGCCTCGACGTACTCTTTCCTCTTTCTCAAGCTAAACTTGGGACTATTCCGCGTCCTCGAACAGCACTAAATTTTTTTCTCGACTAACAATAATGCGATAAGTAAACGCACACTCATAGGTCAAGTGTGGTTGAGCTGTGCAGCCGCGAATACCTATAGAAATTTCCTCAAAAGTGCAAATGTGTCAAAGGCATCATCGTCGCCGATCAATCAATCGTCTTGGTCGTCGTCGTCTTCATCATTCAGTGAAAATCGTGAAAGATCTGTATGGGATGCTCATACAAAATACATAAGTGCGAGTACACATAAACATGGCATAGCTGCGAGGGGGAAGCTCCCGCGAGAGAGGCCCCCGTGAGTAATCGCAGCAGACACAAGTGTGTGTTGT